ACCCCCCCGTTACTTCCGCACAATGCGCACAACACCAGCCTCGTTCTTCGAAACCTCAACATTGCTCGTATCGTGAAGAAAAGGGAAAAGAAAGAAAACCTCATTTACGGACAATCAAGCCTTATGCCTGGCCGTCAAAGCCGAAGTAAGAGACTTGCGAGACCACCTGGGCACACCCGCCATCCCTTACCACATCACTGCTTCGAGCGTACCAGCCCCGTTTGTTATTACCACCTTTTATACTTAAACTTGCAGAGTAGCAAGATAAGGGTGAATCAATGTGAATTTACTAGCAGATTAACACAGTCACCGTCGTCCTCGTTGTAGCATGCGCAGTACCTAGCGAGTATCAAGGTGTGACAAATTCAGCCTTCGTACTATAAGTTTTTTAACTTTACCGTTTCTAGAGCTTTGTATAGCTTCCACAACTCAGATTTTGAGGTCAGAGCGGGCTTGAATAGACGCAGAGTAGCATAGCTTCTACACGAATCAAATCCATGGAATAACAGCCCTTCCGCTGTCTCTGTCCTTTATCGTCACGTTTAACAATATTTAATATTGCTACGAAAGGACTTTCTAGATCTCGACCCGGAATCGTCTAACTTTCACAAGGAGACATCATGACCGATCTTAACCTACCAATACAACACAACATGCGACACCCCCATTCCACACCGGTGCCACAATTCCCTCTTCCTCCTCCAGTAATTTGAAAGCCGTGCAACGTAGCTTTGAGCAGACATCAAGGGCGGCCACCTTCTGCATAGTTTCTCCGAACCCAGGTTTCGGATCCGAAGGATATCTCCGTTAGGTGGCGCGGTCACCACATTAGGCAATCTGTCGAGAGCCGTCGATTGCTGGTGTCGGATCCGAGCCATGGGTCGTGGGCCTGTTGCTTGAGGAGGTTGAATAGGCTATTGAAGAGGTGAGAGAATGTGCGCTGTCGGGATGTCGCGGGGAAAGTTGGTCGAGGAGCACATGGATTGAAGCTGATATCACAATCTATATTGTTACTATCTTGCAACCTCCGCTTTACGCGGTCATAGGTGCCGAACAGAATGGACACAAGGAGTTTATTCGTATTTGCAAATCTGAAATGAATGCTGACAAGAAGGTCCAGGAGGCCAGAACAATGAAAAGGCTAGTTGCTAACGAATAGAGTGGTATCCTGCACTGTATCAAAAGACCTCTTGTCCCTCGCCGAACCATGTAGTGCAGATCTCAACGACGAGGCGTTTCCTCTTCGTACATCAAGTGCATCTTAGTCTTCTTTCGTTGTTATCGTCGACCAAGATAACTTAAAGTAAAGAGCAGGTTCCTCTCGGTCGAAAATGATGTGTACACTTGGTCTACCCGCTTCACCTTATTCACTAACGTTCTGACCCGGTCCTTAGTTTATTAGTAGTAGGTACTTGATACCTGAAGAGGCTACACAATGCGCTTGGAGTGTAATGCTCTGTTACAGAATTCCATGGTATCAGCCCTTAATATCGTGAAGTCCTCCTTGTTAGCTTTTCGAACTAGACAGCGGAGTAATGTCCGAAATTTGGTGTTCATTCTCTTCTGTTAGGGGAGTGAGTAGTAATCATACACTGACAGGGTGCGAGAAATCTACGACTGAGGGTGATAGCTTATGTTCCGAAGTGTCTTTACCTTAGACTCGTCACTATGGGGAATTTCGCGGATACCTTCATTTCTCTGTGCTCGGATGTCCACCATCCCTACACTGCTGAACCGGTCTAATTTTAAGTCACACAGAGAGGATCTTGATACACTCGGCATCGTGTCGGAAATTACGACGCGACACAGTGACGCTTTCAACACGCGAAACGAGTATCCTCTTCGAAGCATGTCGTAGCATTACCACAGCCGTCTTGAAGACGCGCAACTCCGAAGGGGATGGACTAGCGTCCGTCGCACGGTGTCGAGATGGATATACGCAGTGATACGGAGCGGAGTGAACTACGCATACGCTAACTGGACAGTCAGCCCCCAAGTGAACAATGACGACAACACCGCTACGGCACCTGTTGAGCGGTCGCTTGCGCGGTGATCTCCCGAGTGCCGTGTCCCGCCTTCTCCTGAACGGTTCGTTGGGTGAGTCCAAGGTCTTCGGGTCGGCCATTCGGTGCCGCTTTGGGAGTTGCGTTCGTGTAGTCTTCTCGCCCGCGATGCTCGTTCCACCGGAGCGTCCATGTTGTGAGCGGAGTGCGTACGTAGAGCCAACACTATGACGAGGGCGATCCTGCAGCCGATCTGCTGTGTATCATCGACACGTCCATTCGGAGGATACCTACAATGCTGGGTGGTAGTAGCACTGCAGACAGCGTAGTGACATGTTACCGTCGCACAATAACCGTTCGAAGCAAAATCTCCGAAGTCTTGTCGTTCGTGCGCGCGTAGGCATCAAAAGGGTGATCTAAGTTCTCGCGCGATCTGCCTCCGATGAAACAGCCAGTTGGGAATAGACTCTGGCGGACGCCAAAGACCCTGATCGCCATTGTGATAGTGAGTCACTGGCGGTGACTCAGTGGCAAGCCTCGTCGACGTTGCTTTTGTTCAAGGCGCACGACAGAACATGATCTACGCCGCAGATCAAACATCCATCTACCAAGCCACCCACACGGCGATGTTCCTCCGGTTCGATCCCAATCCGTCCAACTGCATGGCGCTGTCCACCTCGGTACGACTACGGAAGCGGACCAAGTATTGGTACAACGACAGATGCTCGCCGCAACGGGTGCATTCGGCTTGAAGCGGGTGCGTGAACGTGAAGTGGAAACGTGGGACGGCAGATCTGCGTGACGCAATTACCCAGCGAAGAAGGTCGCACACGGGTATTGTCGTGCGGGCTGCATCTGGGGCAGCGTAGTCGGGCATTGTGATGAGAGAAATAGCAAGGGGCGCAGGTGCGTTGGCAAGGTTTCTGTGCCGCATGCAGTTTGCAGGCTGTACACGTTGTGTGCGGGCCGTCAAGCATGTCATTTGCCGAAGGTACTGTCACTTCACTCGACCTGTTCACTGCTCTGCGCCACAAGAATAAAGCGTCGGCTTCATTCCCGAGCGTGAATCAAGTACCTCTGGACAGGGTGCCAAGAGCGTTTATGTGAGACTCGTCCCAACAGATGGCAGTAATTGCTCATTCCCAAGGGCAGGGTAATGGCACGCGTGCTAGAGTGCAGCATGGCTAGAGGTAATACGATCACTGCCCAAAATAGAGCCTTGGGCGATCCTTTGCTTGATTGGACGGAGTGCGACAGACAGCCCTATCCCGGTCGCTCGGTTGGATGCAGCAGGTGTTAAGCCCCACTGGTTCCATATTGGAGAAGCGATGGTGTGATTACCGGATGCGGATGGACTGCTGGAAATTATCCTGGAGGGGTGTCGAGTCGGTACCTGATCGACCTATCGACTGGGGATGTGGAAGAATTCAGAAAGACCGGCGGCTGAGCGGAGCGGACAGTAGCGAGAGGAAAGAGTGTCACTGATGAGATGAGCATGTATAATGCACTTGGCGATATATCAGGGTCTTGCCGTGATGGAGAACAAAGAAATGATTGGCATTTCACGGGAATGTGGTGGTCGGCGACGAAACGCGACGGACAGTGCTAGCCGAAGCATGGCTGGAGGATAGCGGCAGAATCGAGGGTCTAGATAGACACGGCATTGAGGCAGTTTCTGCGCAACGGTCGGAGAATACTTTGTAGGATGTGACTCCGGTGGTGGGCGTGGGAGCTGTGGCAACGGAGAGTGTATGTTTCAGAGTTGCGGCTCTGGTGAGTGGGCTCTTTGTGAGAGATGAGTCAAGAAGGAAGGAGCGACAGGCCGTGGTGAGGAAGGCGCATTTGGAGCCAGGAGAGGCCAGGATTGGGAGGACATGTGACAGGCAAGGAGCGCTCAATCCCAGGACCGGGCGAACGTTGCCGGCCACGTGTGAGAGATGCCGACGCCAGACCCTGGTTGTGGGTGAATGACTAAGGGCAGCCCCGACACGGCGAGGGGGCGAGATTGTGAGAAACAAACATCGGCTAGCGCTATTGGAGAGTTGGCCTCGCTGAAACGCGAGGCCATGAACGATGTTCCTGGCCAATTAATCCTTTTCCACTCCGTGTCGATGGCAGCTGCTTTGAGCGTGGTCAAACCGCTGATGCGCCGGCGTGAAACAAGTCGAAGGCTCGTCTAGGGCCGGTCGGCAGGCATGCGCTGGCGGGGGTGCGATTGGCTGGGGGCGCCATGCAGCGCGTTACAGGCCCATTGCCAATATTTGGTGTTGGCCAGTCGTGGTGGGTGAGGGTTACGGGCAGCTGGGACGGCGCGGTGGAGTAGTCAGCCTCGAAGCCTGCGCATAATAGTGCGCACGAGATGATGGAGGTGAATGGAGGAAATATTGGCGCAGAAACGACGGTCGCAGGTTAGCAGCGCAGATTTTAACAGTGGGCGCCATGGATGGCAGGCCGCGGATGCGAAACAGTGGGTTGGTGGGTGGCGTGTGTCTGGTGCAGCGAGCTCCCGCAGACGACGCGACCATCTGCTCGCCCTAGGCGTCCCCAACTGCTGCAGCGCATGGAGGGCCTGGCATCGAGGCTCGCGATAGGGCGGCCCACGCCAACCGCCCCCCGGCTGGCGTCTGGAGGCACGTCGTCTACTGCATGCCAGCCGCTGTACCCAAGGCTCCCTGTGCAAACACAAGTCTGTGCGGGCCATTTTTATCCCCTCCACACCCGCGCCCCAAAAGAGCGCGCTGTGCTGTTGCTTCTCTTGTCGACTGCGCGCGCTGCTCCTACGTCGAATTATTTCTGCCTCTCCGCCCCAGTGCATAACGCGCGCCCGCCCATCCCCCCGGCTGCGCCCGCTTAGTGTTGCACCAGCCTCTAACCCGCCCAGGCTGCCCGCAGCCCTCGACGCTTCGTGTAGCGGACTTCCTACAAGACCCTGCCACCTCACCCTCCTACAATCTATCTGCCCCTCCCACCGCAACCCACGGACGCCCACACGCGACCATGACCACCGTTGTCGCCAATCCCCCGGCCCCTGCCCAGCATGCGGCACCGGCGCCCACTGACGGCGTCGGCTCCTCGAGGACATATGCTCCCATCGCGCCCTCGACTCTCTCTCCCCACCAAGTGACGCCCAAGTCTCGCTCTCAGCTGCCACCTCAGGATGCTTCACCTACCTCCTCCAGTCCAGGTGCACACCACAGAGCCGAGACCAAGCCCTCACCTTTTTCGTACGTCGTTTAGTCTTTCCTCAAGATCTTCTTCCTCGTCATGCCGTCCTCCTTCGGCCTCCTCTCCCACCTCCACCTCCATGTCCCCTCCCCACAGAGACATCATGTCCCTCATGTCTAACCGTCCCTCCTCTCGCAGGTCTCGCGGCCCAGCCCCCAAGATCGTCGTCAAGAAGGAGCCCACGTCGCCAGACATGCCTGCCACCACCCGGCACCGCCCCCAGCGCCTCAACCTAGCCAACCACAACATCGTGCACTCCTCCGGTGCCCTCACCGCTCGGCCCTCGGGCCAGGGCAGCGCCAACCTGCACGATGTCGGCATGGCCTGCCTCTCGCCCGGCTTCCACACCCAGGACCCCGGCATGCGCGAGCAGCTGCAAAGGAGCTTGGATGTAAGAGAGCGTCAAAGGCAGATCATCGAAGCGCGCCAGAAGGGCGGCAAGGGCGGACCACCCCAGATGGAAGACACCAGGAACACCGAGATTGGTGCCTTTGGACGCACAATCAAGACTCCTTCCACCTCCCGCCGGAAGGGGCCACCACCGGGTCTCTCCATCGCGCCTCCCTCGCATGAGACTTTCTCGAGCGACCGTGTAATCCAGTCGGCGCCGATAAACCAAACCTTCACGGGTCTTCGCGGCAACGCACCTCCCTCGCGACAGCTGGCCAATGGCCCATCCAACCTGTCGCAATCATCACACATCCACCACGTCCCCGCACAGCAGACCAGCAACCGGTTACCGCCCATCTCAGACGTCTTTCCAGAGCCCCTCGGAACAGCGCGCAACCCCTACCACCATGGCAGCCCCGGACACTCATCGCATTCCAACGTGCAGCCCCCAATGCCCTCACCGAGCTTTCCGCCCCCACAATTTACACAGCCGCCCCCAACCTCAAGGCCCCGCGAGTACAAGTCCGCAGAGGAGGCTGTTCAACAACTATCCGGGGGCCGCGAAGATCTCCTGCCCCGTCTAGTCCACTACGGCGGCCACCAGCCCCCAACACCCCCGTCACCAATGCCCAAGAACGGACAATCAGCCTACCCATCGCGGCCTGATCTGCACCGCAGTGGCAGTTCACGGAGACGCGGCCGCGACGAATACGAACAAGACAACGGTACCCCGCCGCTGGGTCGCCAACAACCTCGTCTCGGCCCCTTCGGAGCCGGACGGGACTCACCAGAAACTCAACTCAAGAAGAAGGAAGAATTCATTGGACTGTGCGCAAGAGCTTGGGATCTATTTCACTCATGATGATACCCGGCCTCGGCTTTGATCTCGATAATTACTATTTCAGCGACAAACTTGCAACTTATTCTCATCTTTACGGCGCAACATCACTCTCGCTTTACCACTATTATTCTTCAGCCATGCAGGTTCGCTTTCAACACCGCAACTTATTACCCCTTCGTATTCGCAATGTTTGATTTCAATATGTCTTTGTAAAAAGCGCCAGCGGTCTAATTTCAGACCCGCAGGGTTATACCCAGACACACGCACGCACCGCCATTTCCATATGTTGTTTCCTTTTACCATTTTCTCAAACCTTGAGTTTGAGTCTATTCTGGAGATTATGTTCATATGAGTTCTAGGATGATGGGCATTTTCGGCAAAGCAACTGTTTTGCTATACGTGGCTGAGGCCGTCTTGAAACACACCATGTCTCATGACCATTCTCACTTTTCTTCCTTTCCTTTTTTCGTTCTCTCTTTCTACTTCGCCACTGAAACCGAGACTCCTTTTTTGAGGCGGTGGATCTTTCTGGTTCTTGTTTTGGCATATCCCGAATGTGGAGGAAATACCTTTTTCGATTTGTTGAGAATTGTGTGTTAATTCTGTTAAGCACGCGCAAATGTCTAGTGGATCGGCGGCGAGAGAGGCAGGACAACAGTTAAATCGGAGTAGCGCTCACGCACAGTGACGCACTTTACCCTAGCTGCCACAATAAGAATGTTCAATTTTTGCACCGATTTTACAAACTATGATGGTTTCGGTGCCGTGACTACGTGGTTGCATGCGTTGATTGGTGACACGCGACAATACCTTAGTTCCACTTAACTAGACTGCGGAAATTCCATTGGACGACAACACATCGTATTTCCTAGTCTTGCAAGTCGGTGTGCTTCATACATGTACCTCAGACAACGAATGCGCAGAAAAGACACCGAGTCTAGCCCCCCGGTATACCAAGACCACCGGATTCAACCTCACACCGCACACGTGAGACTACACGTATGTATGCAATGCTAATCATGCCCCCTGTTCTCCACTCAACACACGCGACAATAGCAATGACGTGCGCATCTCAAAATAAAGTGATTGCGATATTCACCATACCCACGACTTCTCCTGTCCATCATGTTTATCATTTCGTCATCGTAGACCTTGTCTCCTCCGCGGATGTTGTTGATCTCTGTCTCTCCCCACTATTTCTTGTATCAACATGCCTGTACGAGCGCGAAAATCGTAGATCTACTTGAGATCGGAATATGCAGCCCTACGCCGGGTCTATGTAACAGATTGATGAGCATACAGCGGGTTGGCAGTTGTCACGAGACTACCATGACCGACCGCGTTTGGCGGGCAAATCGCATCCGTGAGATACGCAGGTGGGACAGGGTAGGAGACGGAGGGACTTCGGGGGGTTGGCAGGTGTGATATGTAGATGTGATAGATGTGAAGTTGGTGATCTTGAGTGTCTTGGTGATGAGGGTGATTCGGGATGTGGAGGACAGGCAGCATGGACAGAACATCCATCTCATGCGAGAACGACGCATTGCGGTGATGATCTTGAAAGCAATAGTCCAGTTACGCACCGTCCTTCACAACAACATCTCGGGCGAATACTCACGCACGACAACCATCCACCATCGTATCGCAATTTTTCTATGATCAACCCAAGGATACCTCTCCCCTCTCCTCTCTCCTCTCCCTCCATCACCGCATCATCATCCATTGACATCCAAGTACCAAGCTTACCAAGCTACCAATTTATCCCAGCACCCAGCACCCATCACTCGAATTCCCCACTCTTCACTCGCTACAGCCTGTCGCAGCACCCTAGCTAGTTTCGAAACAAACGTCGTTAGTACGTGAGTCAGTTTCCATTGATCAATTTGACGCAGGGACCATCATGGGCCTGTTCTGCTAGTGCGTGTGTGCTGGTCAGGGATAATATGAAACAGCCGCCTCTTAGCTTCGGAGGTGGGCGTAAAGCGGAACGGGCTCAATGCTAAGGAAATGGACGAGTGATTATGAAGGTATTGCATGGGATGGGATGGAATAGGACCTCGGGAGATGAGAAAGGGTGATGGGAGGGCGAGTGGGTGACATGCTATGGGAGATGGGAAGGAAAGGCGGGAAATATAGTTGAATTGGAGATACCCGTGTGTATGGTCCGCCAGCCAGAGGAGAAACAACAGCCGTAACAGACCATCACGGTAGTAAACGTCTATCCCGCCATCTAGCGCGTGATGCGCGATGGAAAACGTCACCGTCACGTACGTTGGCTAGGTGAAAAGGCGCGTTCAAGGTTCGAGCGCCACGAAAGGAGGGATACGTCGTATTGTCAAATCTACATTAGGCCTCGTGACTACAATCATTACTTTCTTACCAGGACCATGCGGCTTACCAGCGCAGACCAGGATACTCCCATGTTCGGTTGTCTTCTCGAATCTCGCTGACAGCACGTATCCAACAGCGTCGTTCCCAGTTCCCTACCTCGGACACGGTCGGTGCTACAATGTCAGATCTGACGATTACATATGCACATGGGCATGGGCATTGCGCGCTTGGTGCCTCTTCTCTCTTCTCACCGCCCTGTGCAAATACAATATTGTTCGATAGCTTTCGTCGCCAAAGTTACGTGTTCAGAAAACATTTTGAGTTGAACAAGCTGTGCAAGGACTTCTGTGCGCGCGACGCGTTTTTTGTTGATGGGCTATTGAATTTTGAATCGCCAGCAGGGTTCGGCGCCCGATGTAGGTCCTTTGGCACGCGGAAGTTTCCTGGGGTGGGCGTGCGTTTTCCTCTTTCTCGCTTGGTCGGTTGATTTGCCGAGGGCACGGGCGCGGCGAGATGTGGTTGGAGGTGGGAGCGGATGAACGCGCTTTTGGAAGGAGGGTGATGACTTTAGGTGCTGTTGTGATGCGCTTGCAGTATAGTCGCAACGTCTGGATGACTGTAACGTTTCGCGCGTTCGATCATCTGCTCATTGATCTCGGCCCCAACGTCGACCAGAAATCGAATCATTGATACCAGCGATGCATCGGCAGCCGCCCACAAGGCATGTTCATTGACGATAGCTCCACGTTCAACCAGGTATCGGCACAGTGCCTCGTTCTCCGTAAGCACGGCGTGCGCCATCAGCCTGTCTTCTGTCCACCTCCAGTGCTCTTTGCGACCACTCGATGGGAGCCGCGGTGTGACGCGCGTACCATTCTCTACCAACATGCGCACTATATCCAGACGCCCTCGTTTTACAGCTACTTCCAAAGTATCGTTGTCAAGAACCCTGGCATCCGCACCACGATTCAGAAGCAGGCGAAGGATCTTCTCGTTGCCACCTTTGATGGCTTGTTCGAGCGGACTGTCAGAACCAGTGTAGGAGGCTTCAGCTCCTCGTCTCTTGACATGCGCCTTCTGTTTAAGTAAAGCTCCTTGCTCGAGAAGTCGTTCTGCCACATCGACTCTTTGCGGGCTCTTCCGTGCGACGAGACACAAGAGTGTGTCGTGTCCAGGATATACGGCTTCGATACCATGGGTTTTCATCTGACGAGAGGCTATCAGGCCAAGGAGCTGAGTGACGAAATCGGCCGATGGACTTTTGAAGACCCCGGACACCAGTGTATGCTCATTCAAACTGTGAGTACGATATGGCCCTTTTCCGGGCAAGTCCCAACGCGGCTCCATGATGAACCTCACTACGTCCAAATGGCCCCCTCTCAATGCAGCCTCAACGGCTTCATGTCGATGATATGTTGACTGTTGTTGGAAACTCGGATGCAGGAAAACCTTTTCGAGTAACGCCGTGTTCCCGTTCTCAGCGGCAAGAGAGGCAAGGTCCTGTTTACAGTCTATTGTAAATCGTCCATTTTCACGCGTTCCGCACGGATTCGACCAGGGAGTGAGACAGTGCGATATGATCTCGTCCAAGATGGGGTCATTGAGTAGAGAATTTACTCCTTCTGGACAGTCGTTGAGTATGGCCATCTCCAGAAGGCATGCTTGATCGTACATTCGACACTGAATTCGGTCTTTAGAACGTGCTCTCGACAATATGCGCACTGGATTGCAACAGAAGGCATGGATATATTGTCGCAAGATCGTGTGCAGTGTTTTCTTGTTAGTTTCCTGGGGATGGCTAATCCGGCGAAGACGCTCGGCTGCGCGATATATGCGTTCGCATATCTCCACATGGGCCCATTTCTTCCCTATGATCTTGTTGGTGAGGAATGTCTGCCAAAAGGCGACAAACTCGGGCGAGTGGGAGAAGCCAAAGCGATATCCATGTACGTCGTCCAGTAGCTCGGATTCTTGGAGCGCATCCTTCACTTGTTGAGAGAACTCCTCTGCCGAAGAATTAGCAGGCGGCATTACGGCTGCGCGTTAATTGCTGTTGCATACTGTTCACCAGCCTCAATCGTAACCCTCGCTTGAGACCTCTGACATTGACGGCGTGTATCAAAACCGTGCGCAATATCTCTGCTGGTAGTGCAAGGAGGTTTGCCATAATGCGAGTGGCGGGGTGGTGGGGGAATATGGACAGGCAGGCGGGATGTTCATCTGGGGATTACGCAGTTGTACTTGCCTTTATGCATTACGCTAGACCAGTTTCACTCCAGGCATCAGGCAACAGGCAACGCCACCTGCAGCCACAGATCAGAAGAGGTACGACACGGGCGAATGAAATACGCTGACGCGCAATGTTTCTGATAGCTATCGTGGTGCATTCGAGCGCATTTGAAATTGCGAAGGTATTTTGACTTGGGTCCTCTCTCACGACTACTGTACACTGCATGCGTATGCGCAAGCTTGTCGCTGCATTGCCTCATACCCGGAAAACCCTGAACAAATCTGCAGCTTACATTGAGATGCAAACATGCAAAGTAGTCGAACCAAGGCCAATGTAGGCTCCAGGATGATCGAACTCATCCCTCGTTTAGTATAGTAGCCTCCGGCATCTCTGCCTTCCAGTCCCTCACCGCCCTCGCGATTGAGATTTCCGTGCCTCGATTTCCCTTCATCCGCTCACAGGAGTAGAAATAGTGCGGCCAGACATGGCCGTTCTTGTCCGCCGTGGCAGCTTTTGTCAGTGATTCCATGGGAGAGAACGCGAGAAGTCTCATGTTCGATTCCCGATCGCCCATGTATCGCACGATGCTGTCCACTCGGGCCTGGAACGCGTAGCGCTGCTCTCCGCTCTCGAGTGATCGGCGGAAGAAGCGCATGAACTCTCCTTGGCGGTGGTAAGCTTTGCGATAATTGGGCGGGTTGGTCAAGCGTAGTAGTCGTAGGCTTTTCATACTGGCGATAGCACTCAAAGCCCTCTCGAACTCGGTTGATGCTGGAAGTACGGATAATTTTGGGCCGAGGAAGTCGCCCTCTGGACTATCTGGGTCGATCTCGTACAGGTTGAGGCATAGTTGCTCTAGGCTTGGACATGCGATAGCGACCTTCCGCAGGTCTTCCGCGCTCATACATTTGTTGGCATCTTGTCGGTGGATACCTCCGTTTACGATGAGTAGGTCCGTGAGTGTCTCCCCGTGGTTGATGACGCCATCGACATCCATCTTGACGCAATTGCCGCACTCGAAGTGTAACTGGCGTAGTCCGTGGAAAGAGAGTAATAACAACTGTAGCTGTGAGAGGATGTCATCTGACGCGTCCTCATTCACCAGGAGAAGTCGCAGCTTCCTCAGAGAGGGTTCTCGCTTCTGGAATTCAGAGCACATAGCTTCCAGCAACTCAGCGACGCGTCCGGTATGAACAAGGACGAGCTCGGTGAGGGCAATAATGTCTATCCGCTGGAACATGGTGCTAAAAGTCGCAGGGAGCATAAGAGCACTGATGTAAAGGCTGCTTAATTGAAAGCTGACCATGTCCGACTGCGTCGTGTCTGATCCACCTTGCGAGACTGCAGATGTTGTATCGACCCCGAAATGACCTTCTTGCAAGCTGATTGACGTCGACGTGACAGTTTTGCTCTGCGTCATATAGATATGCGTCAGCTTAGGACATCGCACCCATAGCTCCCGAAACTCTCGTGGGGTGAGTGTGTTTATAGAGACTTCCATCCGGGTGAGGCCTGATAAGGATGAACCAGTCCACGGCGATTGTAGTATCTGCGACATCTGGACTCCAGGGACGAGAAAATGTTCGAGTTTCGGGTGTATCTGGAGTAGGAGCTCGAGCGTACTGATAGGCACGCCGCTTCCGCTCTTGAAGCCACATAGTTGACCGCGAGGGATAGCGGCCAGCAATTGTGGCAATTGGTCCGCTTCTTTGAACGCGTTCGGTCTGTCCAGAAGGTTGATTTTGCGGACGTGCTTAACAATGTTCGAGGCGGGAGATGCTAGACCTAGCACATTTCGTGAGCCAGTCTTGGCCAGGAGGTCGGTAGTAAAGATATCCCACATGATTGGCATCACTACGACCGCCCAGTCTCTGCTGAGTAGCGACATGGTCTTTCGGTCCTGGAGCGCGGGTAGGTATCGCACCACTGCGCATTTCAGCTCCGCGGGCAGTCGGCCAATATGATCTGTCGCCATGTCGGCAGAGTTACAGACTACAATAGGGTAGAACAAGCAAATCTGAAAGTCTGGTGTCGATGTAGGCTCCAGGGTGTTCGCGTTATACTTTGATCAATGTGTCGGTGGGCGCCGGTAATCTGGGTGGACCGCGAGGTGTCCGCGATGTTTTGGGCTTCCGAAAGTATGCAACCGTGAGGGCGAGGGCAAGGGCGGTTGAGCGACCAAGTGTAATGCCAAGGCTCGGTAGTGCGATATCACCGTGAGAGCAGCGTTGTGGTTTTCACTATCCCAATGTGGAAGGACTTGACGCGCAGGAGCGCGCTCCAAGCGTAAGCACGGTGCTGAGGGAGTCGCCGCCTAGCCATAGTCTTTTAGGTGTCTATCACGTGTAGTTTTGCAAAAAAAAATGGCTGCTGCCCGTAGCTGTGTCTTCACCGCGAGCTCAGAGTGATAGAGAATGGGCGAAAAGAAAATGGCAAAAAGAAAGTTGCCTGAAAGCTCTCCAACTGGGAATTGAACCCAGGTCTCCCGCGTCATTGTCAAAAGCCAGAAGGCCCAGGTGACAAGCGGAAATACTGACCACTATACTATTGAAGATTGTTGTTTTGATGAAGGAGTGAGTAATTTACCCAAAGATATCGCCGTCAAGCCACGCAAGCGAGGTAGCAGGCTTTCGAACCGACAGCGCAGTTAGAGGGTGGTGGCCGGCGAGAGACTGCAATGAGATTTTGCTGTGTGGGGTCGAGATTGCGGCGGAACAGATTATTGGTGGGGCTATCCAACTCTTCCTGGAATCGCAGGAGCGACTGGTCACATCCAATGCAACGATGTGTCGATTCGAGTGCTTACTTATCTGAGTAGGCTACGCAGCAAATCGTCCGTACCTAGATAGTGTCTTGGAAAATGATGATGCTACACCCTGATCTTAGCCTGAGCATTACATGTTTAATCGGGAACGCATTAGACTTCGCGATCTATTGCGGACCCAGGTTCCATTCTTCGTTCTCGCCGCACATGTAGTGAATCCGGCTACTGTGTGCATGACTTTGGGCATAATGGGTACGATGATTACGCGCGCAGACTTATCTAGCATGAGCTTAGAAGGTCTGGAGATGCCCAGATCATGGACTGATCGTGCCCTGTGATACCTAGTCAGGGTCTTAGTATATCGAAAAGTGTTCGCTTTATCTTACTGTGAGGAGACCAGAAGAATTGAAGTACTTGTAAGCAGAGCTAACGAAGAGTCTTTGGTGGGAGAAGTGAGGTTGCGAGATGACGATCTTCCCATCTTATGTAATCTGGCACTTAGCATCCTGGGCTGCTCGCGCGCCCAGCGATCTCTCACATCTAGCCACACCCTTGCTCAACCTACCAAGGTACTTCACTCCTACACGCAGCCTACACGCGCATTACTGCGCATCATGGTGTACACACTTCTTGGAAAATATGCACCATTTCCTACGCGCAACACAACCACTAGGATCATTATGGCGCATCACGACACCACTCGTCTTAATCCTGGAACGGACTGAGTACCCACGCGCAGAACGCCTTAATGAAGATATGCATCGTACAAGAAGGTCGGAGAAGACTTCTAGCAGCATAGTTTGCGGGCGGCGTATCATTGCAGCTTGTTTTGGTGACCTCGGGAAGGTTAATGTCGCATCGCAGTACAACCTCGAAAGCCTCGGCCCCTCTACTCGTCCTTCGCAGTCCGATGACCCCCAACCACGTAGATCACTTGCGCCTCACAATCCGCAATACATACAAGGAGGAATGGAGGAGCAAGCGTAAGGCTTCCAGAGCACGGCCTGGTGTTGCGTCGATGGCTTACCTGATGCTTCATCAAATGCACTTGGTCACGAAACGTCGGCATCGTACTGAGAACACATGCAAGTATGTCAAGGGTGTAGACACGGTCTAGAACGTGCGACACACGTATCGTTCAGTCTATGTTCCTCCTGGTTGTACGTTCAAAGGTTTGTCAGCTTGCTGCGATGACACCAAACCTCCTATGAGCTGTATAAAGCGGTTACAATTACGTAGCAATGGTGGCCTCTTCCTACATTTCTCAGTTGACATACAACTTCCCTAGTAGGCAACGTTACCCCAAAATCAGACACCAGCGCAGACCTATACATCATGTTAGAAAGTATACAATTATTAACAAATCATAGTGTTTATGTAGCAACACGCGACACAGGTCCGTGAGTTTGTGTGCTGCTGGACGTCGCAGCTCTGCAAAAGCTTTTCACTACTAGTAAACTTGGAAGTGAACGCTGGGTGCACGGTCCCCGATTGCTTCTGCCTACGAATACCACGAACTCCTGCCTGCAACTTTACCCACCCACCTGAGCACTACCAGCGACGAACTACGTCGAGAATCCTCAACTGCTACCGAATATGGCCTGCGCACCCAACTTCGCGAGTCTTCCCAACGAACTGAAGATAAGCATCTTCTCTTACATCAGATCAAAAGAGGAACAGGCAGCTGTTTGTCTTGTGAGCCGCGAGTGCAGAAAGATCATGGCGCCCCAACTGTGGTTTTCGCTCGACCTAACACCCACGACGATGTCAACCGCGAAGACAATGGCCCTTTTAGATCCGGACAACCGTATACTTCACCACGTCCGTCGAATTTCAGTTTACCACGGCCCACGAGATTCGCTCCGATGTCACTCTCAGGAGTTCGAGTCTGCAATCCAACTCATCATAACTGCATTACCGAGAGACACTCTACTTTCTTTCTGCACGTATATGAACTTTGATCCCGGGCTTTTGCTCAACCTACTTCGCCATCAGAGGACACTTGATCGTCTCGAGATACCTACGAGATTATCAGACCGGAACCCATCGATCGATCTTCAAGTTTCTACGCATGCATCTTGGGTTTCCGCTGCGCTGCGCGAATTGAGGAGGCTACAGGTCCACGTTGGCACGGTGGATTGCGCTCACGAAAACTGCGCATACTTGCTAAGAAACTCACCGAAGCTTCGTCAACTCAGCATCATGCCCGAAGAACCTCTAGGGCTAACTAGGAGATACGATGAAGCTTCTATCGGTAGTTCGAAGGGATGTGACGCTTTTGGTGGTCCATTTGCAGACGGTGTTGTAGTGCAGCCACTGCAGCTAACACACTTGCAATTACGAGTCGATTTGAAGCTGCCTCGACCCGAAACTATACTCGGATACGTCAATTTCTCTGGACTTCGATCGCTCTCAATCGACGCTTGTGGTCACGTAGGGCCATTTCTTGCAGCGCTTGCTGCTCAGTTTTCTCAAAACTGTAATCTGATCGGGTTAGAGATCGGATTGCGAGGCTTCGAGATTACCCCAGATGAAGACGTTCGGCTGATTGAAGATGTGCTAATGTCCTGTTCGAGTCTTCAACGCCTCTGGATAGGCACAGGGCAGGCCAGAACGGTGAATACTTCATATATCGTTCGACATGGTAGCACGTTACGAAAGCTCGGTCTGAGCTTTAATCCGGAAGGTTCGACATACTATTCCGCACAAGATCTGTCTCTTATATTATCATCCGCTCTGTATCTAGAGCAACTGGCTGTATACATATCTCCAATCGAAATGGGCAGCGCACAATCTCTTGGCACAGATTTCACGCTCACAATACCGAGCTCTTATAATGTGCCTAATGCCTTGGAAGCATTCTTGGTAGGTTCTTGAAGCCCAGGATAGGTATCAATCAATTTAATAACTAAGCGACAGGCTTGCATTGGACGCCATCCAACACTCCGAAATTTGCGCATGATTTCTCTCCCGCATATCGACTACGGCCTTTCGCCAAACCCTACTTTCCAGAACCGAGTTAGCATAACAGATGAACTCGTGCCCAGCGCAGCTATGACCATGCAGTCGCCTGCTACAGCCATCGTCCGTTTCCTCGACAAGCTTGGCTCGGGTATAACATTGTTCGGGTTTTCCGCCGAGTACATGCCTATAGCCCGACCAAGAAAAGATACCAACGGCCATCTATGGCCTCGTTATTTCTATACTCGCGGTCGTACTATCGATGCAATGGGCGCGGGGAGAGTTGCGGCTGTTCCTCTGCCGGCTTGCGCTCTGCCCGAAGGGTCGTTGTTTAGTCGATCTTATGTGAAATAATTGGGCTTCGAAGCAGTCTGTCTGAGACTACGAAGAGTGGATTGGATTGGCAGATAGTGTTTGAGATATCACAGTTGTAGGAATGATTTGACTATGCGTTACGCCTGAGGTTCTTTATGGATGCATCGCTTGCAGGCTGGACATGTTGGGGAAGTGACCTTCGTCTTAGACACTCATGTTCATTGTTTGTAGTTTATAGCCAGGGCAAGGCTTCTCGCATGCTCGCAACGGTCGAGAGATAGATAAGAAGGTGGCACGCGGCTGTTGATCTGGCAAAGCAAGGAGGGCAAGAAGTACGAGGGTGCGATGCCTAAGTAACTAAGATCCTGCGCGTTCAAGACAATAATATGATTAGGTACCTATAGGTGGAAGGCTGGTGTCTAGTGTATTGATAATGGAAACCAAAGTTGTAAACGGCTTCAACCCACTGAGAAAAGTACCAGGCGTCTCCTCGTAGTCTGACTTGGCGAAAACGATATGTCCTGGCGAGACAGACATCCTTATCTTGCATAACGCGGGCGTCTACATCTTCCCCAGCGCCAGTGTTTAAGACTCGGCTGCGCATATGAAGTCTCAAAACCATTGGCGTTCTCCGGGATTAGCAGCCCCAACGAACGTCTACCGGGATAGTTAGTATAGTTTATCGGTCGTAGAAGGTAATCAGCTTACGGTTTGCAAACAGCTTGAACGAATCTGCGTTGTTCAGTGCCTTCCTGGAAGACAGCTTAACGGAAGGCCAGTAGTCATAAGCCCAGTCCTTGGTAGGAGGGCTATACACCTCTGAAGAATGCGTCATCTCGTGCAGAAGTACATTGCCCTGATCCTTGGCTGAACATTGCCCTTCCGCTACTGCCGGCTTGTCCCAGTAACCAGCGCAGAACGTGATGCCGAGACCATGCGGGCCGTAGTATGCAAGATTACCATTACAATAGCCGAGACGGTCATGACAATAGAGATTCAAGCTTGCACTAGGCTTGGCGCATTCTCGTGCTATTGCGGTGTATCGGGCGGAAACCTCAGCTTTCGTAGCTGATGTTGACGAGTGGAAGAAGGTCTCGAGATGGCGGTGGCCGGCTCGAGCTGCAGCTGCAGCTCCCAATGCTAGCTTTTGACAGTTCTTTTGTGCCTCGGCGATTGCATCATTCATGAAAGCTATGAAGCCTGCGTCAGCGTTTGTGCGAGTCTGTGATGGAAAGGAGTACGTACGTTGGCAAAAGTAGGGATCGGCTGCACGTTCGGCTACTGGCTTGTGAGTAGCCGCTTCGGTACCGTTGACAGTGATGCTGAGCTTGTTGGAGCTGTATTGGAGATGGCCAACAAGTTCGGTCGAGTTGGGGTTGGCGTATTGCAGCATGCCGTTCGCGAACACATCAAAGCTTCCGCCGTTGCTGAGATCGTGTAGAGAGGCAGCTTCAATCGTCAACTCTTTCTTGTCTCCAGCTCCAAGAACAAGGAAGTCGTCTGTGGATAGGTTGTCGGTATCAAGGTGAACACTGCTGATGCCTTCGAAAGGAACCTTGTTAGCTAGACGTAGGTCAGTAATAGTTTGTCTTCAGTCGCGTTGGATTTGGTAGGTCTAAGTAGAACTTACAACTGTTGCTAGCGAACATCGAGATGCGCTCGACGGGTAGCTTCTCATCGAAGAGATTGGCTCTCCTGAGAAGGTTCAAAGCCATATCGCCGTTGTTCGTCACTACGACCTTGACGGCGGAGTTACCCGAGGCAGTGAGCTGAACGCCAATCGCGTGGCAAAGATGTGGATCAGGGAAACAGTCCACTACTTGCCCGTTTGATGAGTAGGAGTTGTAAAGAACGTCTATTCGCACAGTCAGCATAGTCTATACAGTGTGGGCATGTGAGCTTACCCTGTGCGAACACCACGAAAGAATCTGCATTGTTCAGCGCCGCCTCGGCTGTCTTTAATCGCTCCGTCGTGTTATGGAGGCCATAAGCCAAGTCTTGCGTGCCAGGCTTATAAACCTCTGGACTGTGCGTTAACTCGTGTAGAAGTACGGTGCCCCGGTCTCCGCCGTAACCTGCCGGGTTCACTCGCGGCATGCCCCAGAAGGGTGGGCAGATCGTCACATAGCCGCCCCCACCCGTATAGAATACCACGCCCTCACCCGTATAGAATGCCACGTTCTCGGTCCCACACTGGTTGTGACGGTCAAAACAGTGGTAACTCAGGCGTGGCTTGGTGCATTCCTTTGCTATTGCGCGGAACCGGGAAGCAACCTTCACCCTGATGTCTGACGAATCCGAGTGGAAGTAGGCCGGGAACCTGGGGTCTCCATATGCGGCTTTGGCAGCGTGCAATGCTAGTTCCACGCACTGACGTTGTCCCGTTTCAATAGCTACGCGCTGGGAACCTGTGAAGCCCAAGTCAGCGTTTGCGCGGATCTATGATGGTATGATGAAGGGAGGAGTACGTACTGCTGCATTGGTCCTCGAAATAGCGCTCGGCTACTGGCTTGGGAGCAGCCGCTTCGGTGCCGACTGGCGCGGCATGAATGTAGGTGGCCAAGAAAGCCAGGAGGAATAGAATAATAGGCCACTTCATTTTCGAATGGAAAGCTGGTGGAAATGTTTGGAGAAGATTCGGAGTGAACTGTTTAGAGTTCTACTGTTGGCAGTGAGTCGTCTTATAATGTTTCCGAATCAGCATATAAATACTAGCGTAAGCGAGGGATGGATGGGGTTTCTGGTTGAGATTTCTGCAAATCAGCCGAAGCCAAAGCCCAAACTTACTTGCTCTCATGACGGTTATCGTTTGGAAATACCGACCAATCTCGCAAGAAATGTATGGATCGCAGGAAACGTGAATGGTTCGTCGCGCGTTGGTTGTTGCAGTACCGTGGGACGGAATTGAGGCTGGGAAGCGATCGAAACACAATCATGGTGTTAGCACGCGACACGTTGTCAGCGTACGTATCGCCCTTGCGATAAATGACCAGTCCGACCCAGAACCAGACCGCAGTCTGTGTCAAAGGCGCACTCTATGGCCAAGCTCGTCGCCGAAGCGACCCGCAGACTGCCCATGCGATAAGGCTGTGTCGTTTCTACCGAGCAGTTCGATGGACCCGAGGTAGCGCAGATACGAGGCTGATGTTGAGTCGGTAGAGACCAACGTTGAGAAGTGGAGAAGGCGTGGGTGGATATCTTGTTGAGCGAAGGGGCGAGGTCGGCGCTTGCCGTGGCGGGCTGATGTATCGAAAAACACCTAAAGGTAACAGCAAACCACCTTCCCACTTCTACCCACTTCCCCACTTCTACCAAGCTTCTCTACCCGTTACTTTGTCTGGGAACTGCGACATATCGTCTTCCTTCGTCTTTGATATTCATCCGTCCCAAGTGCCCTCTACCCCTAATGGGACGTATCCTCATCGCTCGCCGGCTGTACCCAACGGGGACCACGTGAAGAAGAAATCGCCGGTGCCAAAGTCTCCTGCCCCGGCTCTAAGGACGACCGTGAGCTTGGCCATAATGGAAAAACTCTACCCCCCTCCAGACATCGGACTGGCAGCTGGAAGAAAATACTTCGCCATCGAGCAAGGGTCTCAAGCTCGGTCGCCCTTGATCTTTTCACTCTTATCCTAAGTCTCTTTAACCTCCTCCAGATGTCGTTCTGCACATCTGCGATGTCCCAGAGGCGACCCAGAAAAGACGAGCCAACCACACCTCCCGCATTTCACATGACTCTTACGCAAGAAGATAGTCTACGAAAGAGGGAAGTATCGCATCTCCAGGAACCTCTGTGTAGTCTCTCTTTGGACAGCCTCCTCTTGATCCGAATCATCAGCCCCACCGACGACCACGGTACTGCGGTGCTGCACCAGACCAGCAACATTCCAGCGAATCCAGCGAACAACATTAAAGCTATCGCAATTATACCGTATACCAAAGTACCATCTTAATGACCTGCCCGAAGGACTAGACCGCAGTCTAAGTTAAAGGCGCACTCTATTTATTCCTCCTCTTGATCAATAAGTTAGGTCGAAAGGACTAGATAGAGAGGTTCAAATACAAACAAGTACACCGTCTGCAATCACGCTCCGTCGGGTAACTACAAAGGCCAGTACGCAGCGAAAGTCAGTACGGAGCGAAAGTCGCGCCTCCCATCCCCTCCGCCAACATCGTCGGCTGGGCGGGCTAGTCGTCACTCATGAGTAGCCGGGGAATGCACCCAAGAACCAAGATTCAATAAATATCCACGCTCACTACGAGCCCATCCGTGTCGCACATGATAATGTCGTCAATTTCGTCCCCAAGCTTCTCTGTCTTTCGCGCTCGAGCATGAGAGGTCTTTTCGCGAGGAAACCTTGGTTGTGTACATTGGGGGAGAGACATTCGGTAACGGTGGTTTCTTCCCCAAGCTCCTTCCCCCTGTGGAATGGAAGGGAGCACGTTGTGTGGTTGCTAGTATCTAGGTACCTAATGAAGTTCGAATCAATACACAGATCTAGATGCAACAGCTCCATTAGAAGACTACATTGTCGTGGGTACGATACGTTTATCAGATTATAACACAGTGTATGCAGCAACGCGATACATGGTAAGTGGAAGCGGCAATCTCTCTGAAGACCACCAGGCTACATTTGGTTCAGATTGTAGCCTAATCGGGACTAGCGCCTATATACGCGACCCACTCGACTGGAAAGAGCAAGCAATCTGAGGTCTCCTCCCACACCCTTCTAAGTAACCCACACTCCGAACAAATCGTCGCGCCTAGCGCCTCCGTTCGCTCGCGATGGCCGGCCCTGGCGTCTCAGCCACATTTTCCGACCTCCCGACTGAGATGAAGGCCGCCATCTTCGCCTACATCCGTCAAACCCGTTACAGAAAGACGGTTTGCCTTGTTAGCCGCGAATGGAGAGACATAATGGGGTAAGTTCCGACCGTTCGGAAATGTATGTAAGAGATATATTAATTTTGTGCGTCTAGGCCCATGCTCTGGAAAACTCTTCTTCTGAGATCCGCCGCCAACTTACCAGGAGAGTTGGCTTGTTTACTGAGCCCAGATAACAGAGTGCTAGCCCACGTGCGCTATATCTCGGTTCAAACCGACGTGAGGGGCGGCGTGGAGCTCGAACTAGGTTCCGAATTTGGGGTCGCCTTCAAACTCATTCTTGGTGCGCTCACAAGAAATTGTCTTGTCGGTATCAAGTTCAATATGAGCGCCAACTTGCCTACGCTACTGAGCATCCTACAATCCCAGCAAACATTTCAAACACTTTATCTTCGGACCATTCTCTCCACCGGGAGCTTATCTGTTGGCACAAGCCTTACGACACATGGATCCTGGGTCACACCCACGCTGCGCAATATTCAAAAGCTGCGGATAACTCTGCTCGAAAGCAATGAGAACCGGTACAAACACAGCGCCTTTCTTCTCAAAAATACACCGAGACTGAGGTCACTGTGTTTCGCATGCGAATCTGGTATCATGCCTCTTCTCCATGACCCCTTGAGTAAGCACGACGCGTTCGGAGGGCCGTACACAAATGGAGAAACTTTCAAGACTCCGGAGCTGATCAAGCTTCAACTGAAAGGGTTGAACCTCAGAACATACCCCGCATCTATCTTTGCTTATATCGACTTCTCTCGTCTTCATGTACTATCTATCAGCCAGTGCACGAATATCGGGACGTTTCTTACGGCTCTAGTTGCCGCGGTCCCACAAGCCGCAGCCTTGAGCACATTGGAGCTAGCAGTGTATCACAAACCAGCTCCCATGGATACACAAGCAATTGAAGCTGTGGTGAAATCTGCTTCTGCGTTACAAAAGCTCTGGTTGGACGTGGGATCAGGTTGTGCGATCAGCGTATCCTGTCTAGCTCGACATGAAACTTCTTTGCGGCATCTTGCTTTGGTAGCTTCATCCCAATCAGGACCACCACCATACTACTCCAGCTCTGAACTTGGTAAGATACTTAACCAGGTGCCAAATCTAGAAGATCTAGCGATCAATCTCCCTCCGATTAGCCTGGGTTCTGTCCGGTTTCTAGCCGCCAAGTTCAGACTACCCGCGCAAGATGAAGCAGATCCTGATTTTGATGAAGTTTCTTCATTCTCCGAATCCTTGGTATGCAAGCGCCTCATGAGAAGAGATTACTGCTAATGTAAAACAAAGGAATGTATCGCGAAACATCGGAGTCTCAGAACATTGCGAATCGCGACAACCCCTCTCATCGATTGCGACACAGTGCCGAACCCAAACTTCTCGGAACGTATCGGACTTCCAGAGGAGTATGTGTATGCATCGCAGGCAATGATGCAAAAGTTTGCCACAGAGATCTTTCGTTACTTCGCCAAGCATGGGTCCAAGATCAATACCATACTCTTGTCACCGGACTATATGGCAGGAGTCAAGAGGCCTACACGCGATGAAAATGGGCATATGTGGCCACGGTACTTCTATAGATGTGGCTGGACTCGGAGTACAAATGGCGAAGATTACGTTGTAGCTGTTCCGGCAGAGGCGGTTGACCTTGAGTATTTCGATCGACCCATCTGGTGAGCGGCCAGGGAGAGACGCCGTTGGCATTCGGTCACGGAGATTTAAGGTGTGAAGAAAGCTCGGATCGCTGTCAAAACACCAGCGATGCTCACAGAAGGCATGGTATACATGAGCGATTAGACACCGAGATGAACTTGATAGCTAGTCTGAATTGACCACACACATGAAACACGAAGCTCCTCAAACCACTGTACCATCAAACCAAACCCATGTTCTCAAACTCCTCCACGAGCATACATTGCCTCTCCTGCCCCTCAATCTTTCCCACAAGCTCGTGTGTCGTCGCCTCGCTCTCATCTTCCAAACCCAGAACTTCCAGCTCCTCCACTTCCATCTCACTGCCACACGCCGAACCCAGTACTTCCTGCTCCTCAACCTTCATCTCACTGTCACCTGCCAAACCCAGCACATCCTGCTTCTCAGCTTCCATTTCATTCTTACGAATCAACTTCCTCATCTCCTTCTCAAGCTTCCTGATATCTCTCTCTGTCCCATCCTTAATCCTCCTCGCCCTCGCCTTCTCCTTCCTCTCCTTCCTCCTCTGGTTAATAGCCTGCCTAGCCTGAACCCTCAGGTCACGACTTAGCTCCCTTCGCGGCAGAACCTTTACATCCTTCAGCGCAGCGCCTAGCCAACCACCCACGAAGTCTTCCCCCGCACCTCCCGTGACGAGTTCCCCGTCCAGTCTCACAGCTGGAAAACTAACGCTCCGATCGAGTAACTCCGGCGGGTACTCAGTTAAAGCAAGCTTCTTGAACCGCTGCGAGGCTTGACGCATGCGTTGGTGAGGCTCTATCCTGGAGAGAGGAGGCAACCAGTGAAACTCCACTTCTACGCTCTTCTCGGCTAGTTGTTTGGTAAGATGGGGTATATCGTCTACAAGCCATCTATCCCTCACCAACCCGAACGGATGGCCCTGTCTCATACTCTTGAGGACGCGTTGCACATCTGAGAAGATGAGCACGCGGTCGACGTGCTCAGTTATCTTGGGAGACGTGGCTACGCGGAGCGCTTCGCCGATGGATAATAGGATGGCTTCGTTTGCGCTGGTGTAGTGTGCGATGGTGACTTGGGCGGTCCAGTCAGCAGTTGTAGGTGAGTTGTAGCCGACTGCTATGGCGCAGGGTTCGTTGCGCAGGTCACCGCTGACGGTGCTGTTGATCCAGATGGCGAGGGTGCGCTTGGGAGGCTGGGTGTAGCTTGTGCGCGCAAATGCTGTGGCTTGGGCTTTGGACTTGATGTGGATTGATGTCGCGTAAGTGTAATTGTCATCGCGTCGAGGCTTTGAAGTAAAGTGATCGCGGAGAATGGTGTCGGGGATGGCTGCAGGAGCTGGGGATGTCATGTCGGCGTCCATGGCTCGGAGATTTTTCAATGTGCTGCTTTACTGAAGTACCAACGGCGGTGTCTTACGACAAAGCCTTTGCGGAAGTTGCGAAGATGGTATGCCGGAGGCTCCACGAACCTTGGAAGGCAGTTACTACTCAAGTAGGCTAGTGATAGAAGCGGAAGGCGCCACTCACACTCGAGTGAATGGCCGGACCCTGGTTTACGATCTCAATTGGGCCTACAGTACCACTACAAAGACTTCCGGGTTGTCTGTGATTGGCACCAGAGCGCTCACCCTCACTGTGAATTGCGCATGCTGTAAGTGGCTAGGCGCTCATTGTGGGTCATCATGGGACCAGCGGATGGAGACTAAAATACAGGCGCTTTCTCATGGTAGGCAGGGCAGCGACGGGAAACTTCAGTATCAACGACACCATAGAGCAACGGTCTTCATAATCTTCATTGCATGTCATAGCACGTATGCCTTCAGGCCCTGTCCTGTATACCACACCTCCTAATATTCCCAGCTTTTGACTCCCGCTTCCCATCGCCACGATCGAGATCTACAAATACAAAGCGGAGCAAATCAGATAAGATGCCGCCCCAGAAAAACGCAAAAGAGTCGTGCCCATGGGGCTTTGGGGGGATGAAAAGACACAAAAGACGCTCGCCGTGCTGGAAGCTATGCACAAGACTGCACAGATGGACGGAAAGGAAATGCTAATAAAGCGCAACGCCTTCAAGGCTGAGGTATGAGTTTGGGTTTGCAGGTCCTCCCGCCCACTAGGCGGCAGGCTGGGCACCAAACTCAGCGCCGCCGCGGCCTCTGGGTGCGCCACGGCCGCGGTAGCCGAAGCTCCGACCGCGTCCGCGACCACGGCCACGTCCTCGACCGCCCCGGTAGCCATCGACGCTGCCCTGGCCGAAGGTCTCCATGTTCTTCTGGCGCTCCTGGCTCCTGAACTCTTGACCGCGGGTGGCAGCCTCTTCTCTGTCCTTCAGCTCGCTCGAGATGTTGTCGAAGAAGGAACTCTTGTCGTACATGGATCCACCAGGGATGACGACTTCTTCCTTCTCCGTGGAAGCCTCGCCAGCAGGGACTGCTGGGGCATCGCCCATCGGGGACCCAGATGCGATGGCTTCCTTGACCAAGTCCTGCTTGTTGAACTTTGCGTTGGACGACTCAAAATCAAAGTCGGTTGTGGGCACTTCCATCTTGGGGTGTTGAGGGTGAGCACCACCTCGTCCTCCTCTTCCGCCCCGACCACGGAACTCTCCTGTTCCTCGTTGACGAGGCTGGTGCTGGCGGCTTTGCTGTTCGCGCATGCCTTGCACCTGCTGTGCCAAGTTGTTCATCGGGTCCGAGACAGGCGGTTGACCTTGCGGTTGACCTGGTGCCTGGCCCTTGTTCTGGAGGTTGAGCTTCGCCATGGCCTCAGCGACAGCAGCAGTTGCTAACTGAGTAGCGTTTTGTTGCTGGGCAGCAGTGGGCATTTGCGCAGGAGCGGCAGAGGGGCCGGCACCTTGTTGTGCTTGAGGCGCAGCCTTGGTCGCCCTTGGGCTGGGAATTGGTACAGCAGGAATGATTCGACCACCCTTGGGTCCGCTAGGCGCGCCCTTCGCGGGTTGTTGACCGTTTTGGGGGTGGGGTGGTGCCAACGCAGCCGATACATCGGGCTTCGAGTCGACTGGTGGCGGGGGAGCCTGCTTGCCTGCTGCAGCCGGTGATGCCTTCGCGCCGTTCTTAGGTTGTGGCTTGGATGATGCACCGTCTGCCTCTGCTACCTTCGGTTGCTGGACCTGACCCGGCTTCTCATCCTTGCCTGCTTGAGGACCCTGAGGACCCCGGGGGCCTTGTGGAGGTTGGTTCTGGTTCAGGCCGGGAGGGCCAATGGGCATGTTAGGCGAAAAGGGACCAGGTGGCTGCTGGAAGCCGTGACCCGGAGGGAACCAGCCTGGAGGCGCTCCGAATGGAGGCGGCGGCATGCCAAACGCGCCTGGCGGGCCTCCAGGGAAAGGACCTGGGCCACCAGGACCACCAGGGAAACCACCTGGAGGACCGAATCTGTTTCCATATGCACCAGGGCCGCCAGGACCACCGAACGGAGGGTATCCACCAGGCGGGAATTGGCCTGGTTGAGGAAAGTTCGGCGGCGGTTGTTGACGACCGGCGAGATCTTGTGGACTGCCCTCTTGCCGCGACTGGGGTTGTTGTACCTGTGGCGCATGCGTCGCGTCAGCTTTGGCTTCGTGAAGTATGTAGCAGAAGCAGCTTGGGTATGAGGATCTCAGAAGGAAGGCAACGGAAGATATCCACACGGTTTTGCGCTCTCGGTGGTTTAAATGATTTACATCCGAAAATTTTACATCATCGAAAAAGAAAAGAAATGGTGGTTTTGTAGACTTACTCCGATGATGGCTGGGTCCTGCGGCATGGCAGGCTGAGCCTTCTCCTTGACAGGCTCTTCGATGCGCAGATCCTTCACATCGCTGCCTCGAAAGACAATTTGCTCGTACACGACGTCTGACGGTGGGTATTCGTCTTTGCCGCCCTTGCGGCCCTCTGTGCCGAAGGAGCGCACATTGTCTAATGAGACTGTGGAGGCTTCTGAGTTGATCTCGACGAGTGTGCCGACATAGCTGGGGGCTGTTAGTCGCGTCGCGCAACGCATTCACGCGATGGAGGACTCACCGGATGTCACTCTTGGAGATGAGAGAAATGCGAGATCTACGCGTCCGACGTCAGCTGGAGCTCCAGCTCGAATTGGAGAGCTGCGACTAACCCGATGAACTCGGACATGGCTGTGTAACGTGGGTATCAAAACGGGTATCGAAGGAATTGAAGCTCAATGAACAAGAAAAGAAGGCGGGAAAGTGGTTGGGAAGGGTGCAAGTGGTTGGTGGAGGAGTGAGGGGTGAGAGAAGGTTGGAGAGCTCCGTGGTCGTGGGCTGAAGCTGCAGAAACTTGGCGCACGTTTAGCGAGGCGTAGTCTGGAAGCTTGGAGCCTCGCTCATCCACCTGGCACCTCGGGCTGCCTTTACCCCACACGTACCAACGTTGCAGTCGTCGTCGGGTTGCAACTGCACCCATACTTTGTCACCCATGAACTTGTCGACTTTGGACCCTTGAGGTCGTGAATTGTATCACCTTTCCAATCTTCACTTTCTCCTAGGGCTCTCAGGTTGCCCAACCCCTCGCTATGAGCGTCACCGACGATGGGCTGAACGACATCTATGAGGCTCTGGATCGCTACAACTGGGACGATGACATCGAGTTTCAGGCTGGTCTGCAAGCCATCATTGGCAGCAACAGCACGCCAGAACAGACGACCGAGCTAGCATTACGGGCGCGGTGTTTCTACTATGCGAGGTACGATCGAGACTCAAGACAGATTCATGCTACGAGAGGGACGTTTACTAATACCCCACAGAAAGTACAACAAAAACATCGACTTCAACGCCTACAAAGCCTACCGCAGCGCCCGCAACCGCCCCCCACCCACACCACCAACCCCGCACAACGTCCTCGCCTCCTCCGTCGTAGACGAGATGCTCCCAGCGGGCACCACACCCAACGCATCCACAACAAGCCTGCCCATAACCAGCGACCTCCCTCCAAGCAACTCGCCAGGCGGCATCATGCCCCCACCCACAACCACAGCCGAACCACCAGCACCTTACCCCACCTCATTCGCCCACATCGTCGAGCTCATCACAAGCGGAAAGCCCGTGCCGGGCATCAAAGAGATTCCGCCGACGGTACTAGAAGGTCAGGGCACGGAAGCTAGTAAGCCGAAGAGGAAGAAGCCGTGGGAGAAGGATGGGGCGTGATGGTACCCTCTTCTATGCCTCTTCTATGAGACATCGATCCCAACATCGGGTAACAAGTAGAAGGCATGGCGCCGTCGCTGTCAAAAGGAGATGGAGACGTTCCATGTATGTCCGTACCGCTTGCTTGGTTATCGGATAGTAGTTCAACATGATGAAGTTTCGCAACCGCTCTAGGCAAGTGTCCAGATACTTGCCCAGAGCGGTTGCGAAACTTTATCATGTCAACCCAATCTGCCCATTCAATATCTTATACAGAACTACCATCCGATGGCCCAGCAAGCGGTGTGTAAATTCGAATCGTAATTCAACGTGGTACGTGCAGAAGAGGCATACATGGAATGGTTCTAGGAAGCGTTCAGCGCTGTAGATACCGATGACAGCAAGAATGTTTCCCCTTGCCCTGCACTGTACGTATCACAACATCAAGTACAAGTAGAAGGGTGTGGATTCGTCGCTGCCAGGGAAATGGATGACCTTTCATGTGTACCCCTTCCGGCCATGTCTTTTGTTATTAGCAAATCTACTCTACAAAGCTTTGTAGAGTAGATTTCCTGACAACAAAAGATACGAACGGAAGGGGTACAGACGGAATGGTTATTGAGGGCGTGTCTATGCCGTAACTATAGGAAACCAAGAAACGATACACATGCAGATATATGTTTCAGGTGCGCGTCATGGGATCGTGTGATCAAGATACAACGATACTATGCATATAATCCAGAAAACAACCTACACGCTATGCTACCTACATCCCAAGATTTTCCCCTCCATATATCCATCCACGCCCTTCCCCTATCATCCCCTATCATCCCCATCCCCATCCCTAACCAAATCTCATTCCCAATACCATTCCCAATCCCAAGAGTAAGAATACCAAACAGCAAACTGGGGTATATAGCAGATCCAACCTCCCAACCTTAACCCAACCTAACCTTCCCATATACGCCCAATATACACAAACGTTAAATGAGAACATCAACAACAACCCACCCGATGATTTTACCTATCCGCTTGAAACGAAACGAAACTGTTCCTCCTCTTACAATACAGCCTCAAGAATGCGATCTTTGAGGGTCTTGACCTCCTCATCCCTTTCCCATAACCGTCGCTGCATGTCTAGGAACTTGGCTTTCCAGGCCGCGGGCGTCATCTGACTTCCCCCCGCACCCTCCCGATCTAATGCCGCATCGCCATCTCCTCTTCGTTCTCCACTTCCGTCTTCGCTGTTCTCACTTCGTATTTCCAGGCCTTTGGCAACCCATTCTCCGGTCAACCCGCCAAAGTTCACAGCGAAGAAGACGTCAAAGGTTTCCTTAATACGACTACCTGAGTTGCCAGGATGCGACCGTAGGTTATCTCCGGTGGTATCGCCATCGTCTTCGTCGTCGTCGATGGGGCTTTCATAGCCATCACCTCCAATGCGGAAGCGTATGCATTCGACGCGACGGACGCCGCCGGTAGGGCCGCCGATGCCAATGCCGACTGCGCTTGTGAGACCCAGACAACTGCTGATTGCTATGCCGAGGCTTTGGTCGGACATGACTTTCGCGGGGGAAGAAGGTAGTCCGGACGTTGGCTTTGAGTAGAGTGGTTGGAGGATCGCTGTAGCCAGGGTCTTTGCTTCGTTGCCTCTTAAGCGCTTCCGACGGCCGGTAAGCGGGGCACGGATGAGCTCGGCGGCTAGGGCGCGGTTGAGTGTTTCGAGAGGGATTGATGGGAGAGACGGGGAGGAAGTTGAGAGGTCTGGTGAAGTCTGCGAGCGGATTGGGGGTGGTGGTCGGTGTTGGGCGGGTGTTTCAGAGGGGGTAAGCGCGCCGTGGTAGGTCTGATGTGTTGGCCTGTTGTCTTGTTTTTGGTACATGCTTTGTTGCTCGTAGCCATGTGCGGGCGACACCTGCGTTGAAGCGGCGCTTATTGGGGAAGGCCCTAGGCCTGTGCCTGGGGAGTCATTTTGTTCTCCGTTGACGAGTACCGTTGGTGTGACTAATCGCACTACTGGGTTGCCGACATTTGGAGGGACCTGGAGACTCAGTCGCTGTTTCTGTGGCGCACCACCCATGAGCTGGCCCTCCATCTTGGAAGGCGATATGGCAGACGCTGGCGTTGGCGGAAAGCGGAAGGAGTTCTCGGGTGCTGGAGGGTCAGAGTGCGCCCGCTCAACTATCGGTGTCAGATTGCCTGGGGTACGGTCGATGGGTGGTCCTTCTTTGGTTTTCGGATTGGCTGGAAACGTGTTGTACGGTCCATCTCGAAATGATCGATTGCTCGGCGGCCGGCCACGAAGCTTGCCGGTAGACGAGGTGTTGTTGGTCGACCATGCCGACGATACAGCAGGGCCGTGACGCCGGCGAGACCGTGATCTCGCACTGGAAGGCGTGACAGCAGACTGGGGCTCATCGAAGAAGGGGTATGCGGATTGTGGTGTTACCGCGGAAAGTGGATGAGGGGTTTGAGGCGTGTCATGAGGATTCAGTCGCCATCGTATGTGTTGTCCAGACATTGGCGAATCGGTATATGGTGTCAAGCTTTGGCCTAAACGACTTGGTGCTGAAGCTGCTGTTAAAGCCGAAGAGGGTGTGACGGTTGAGACTGCAGTCCACGCTTCTTGAGGTGTGAGGAAGCCTCCGTGCATGTTGTGAGGATGGGCGCTAGTGGGGTACGCTGATTGGGGCTGCAGCACGTTGCCAAACGGTATTGACGTATCCAACTGCGGGCGCTTACGAGCCGGTGTGCCTTCGTCAAAGTCGATGTCGTCCTCTCCGTCATCAGCTTTCCGCCGCCCGCGCTTCGGTTTGAACTTGGGATCGAGAGCGCGGATAGCCAGATCTTCCTCCAGAGGTACGCCATCCCGCCCGTCAGCCGGAAAGGGGTTGTGAGGAGGAGGTATTTGCAGGAAGTAGGGGTGCTGCTTGCCCAGCAGATACTCGAAAAAGGCGTCGATGTGCATGGCGCGCATCCATCGCTGTGATGGTTAGCAAAGCCGGAATGATGTATGAAACGACAAGTGATTGGGGGCCAGGTCGGAATGCGCTGCCCCTCTGACCTGCAGAGGCCCCATCTTTGACCAAGTCGTGAGGAACAGTACATCTCAGATATCTCACATAGTGAGTGGCTCGGTTCGCACACTGCGCCGGATACCAAGTAGGTGGTTCGGATCACAATGAGGCGTTTGAGGCTGAAGTCGACTGCGCCGCACGACCCGGATGACATGCATAAGACGTTGTTGGAGCCCACTGGGCCAGAACTCGGAAAATGTGTAGAAAATGACTCGGCGATTGCCGGATATAAGAGTGCGAGTGAATTGAAGGGCTCTTACCTTTAGTCTGACTGAGTACTGCTGCACCTTCTGCGTGCTCTGTCCCTCGTCTGTGTTCGGCGGCTTGACGCCCAGATCCAGCGCCAGTTGTGTCCATGTCTTGATTTCTTTGGCGTCCAGCTTGCGTATCAGCTCGAAGAGGGTCCATGTGTTGAATGCGTTGCCGTCGCTCTTGGGCGGCGTCCGGAACAGCTTGACTAGTTCGCTGGTGTCGATGGTGGTGGGGAAGTTGGGGTTGCAGTAGAGGATAAAGGTCGCGTAGGCGTCATCGATGGTGTCGTCGGCTACATTGCGCGAGGGCGTGTCGCGGTCGGCGGGCTCGTAGTGGGCAGATGCCTGGCGCGGCTGGCTGGTGGGCGATATGGCCGCGAAGCGCGGCGAGGCATGCGCAGACGCCGGGGGAGTCTGCGAGCTGCGCATGTCGGCGTAGAAGCCGTGGGCGAGGTTATGGGCATTGTCTGGCTGAAGTAGGTGACTGGACTGGGCCTGATGGGGGACCGCCGCCATGGGCGTGTGCACATTGCGGCTGGCACCTGTGCTCTGCCCCAGTGCCGGATCAATTGCTGCTACACCACCGCCGCCTGGATGCCGGAAGGGCGAGTAGGCCGGCCCGCTGCCAGGCCCCGCGTGTTCGTAGTGCTGGTGGGCGTTGGCTGTCAGGTGCAGGCTGTGCTCCGTCTCTCCCTCGTCGCCAAAGTCGACCTGCATGGTTCTCCACAGTGTAACGCGCTCTGCTGCTTCCTCGGCCCGTCAGCATGCCATGAGGGCGTCGAGATGATTCGCGGCCGCGCTAATGCCAATAGCAGGCCATGGATATAGAGTCAGTCCAGAGGTTTACTTCTTCTGGCCCCAAGGGGAGTCCTCAGCAGCGCCTACTGTCGCAGCGGAGCCGGCGAGTGCAGCGCGAAGAGGTCCAACGATAGGATGCGATGCGCCCAGCGCCGTCGCTCTGTCAGGGCAGTCGCGAGAGGGCGATTACGTCGTTTGCCGTGCAGCGCGCTATGGAGTCGCGTCGTCGAGGGTCCAGCGGGTGGTAATTTGCGGTCGTTCAGGTGCTATGGCGGGTCGTGCCTGCCTGCTTCGGGGCATTTTGGTCAGTTATGCCAGCTGAGCGGTACCCCAGCATCGTCCGTCTATTTTTGGATCAGCCGACGCACCACTGCTCACCACACCCATGTCGCTGCACCATCCGAACCCCTACCACCGCTGCTCTGCACCCTGACTGGCTGCCTATTTACGCTCTACACTGAATATGCGACAATGCCTATCGAGTGGCAACCATCCCAAGCCCTTTTGGTCGTACCTACCATTGTAACTGACGTACGCCGGCCGAACCTCGCTCTTGGAATATTGCCACTACACCGACTACGACCTTTCTGGGGCGAGTACTCGTGTCGCGCCGCATGGAGTTTAAGACGGTATCATGTTGCGAACAAGAGGCAAGTCTGCGTCGTCGTCGAATGTGGCGCATACCTCTTGGGTCGAGTGATGCAGTCAGGTTTCTTCGACTCAGTAAATTGAATGCAGCAAGCACGTCTGTGAAACCAGGACTATGACTGTCTTAGCGGCGACTCCTGTTCACTGCGCGTCGACACCGCTGGCCACGCTTATCAAGTCCCTTCAGTCTCACTATCAACTTCCACCCACACGAGATAGTCTCGACTCAACTCCATGCAGCTTCCGCCAAGATGAGTATCTCCGCCCTTCCAACAGAGCTGCTCAGCATGATCTTCGATGAGATCCGGAGAAAAGAGGATATGCAAGCCGTTTCTCTCGTTTGCCACAAATGGCGCGTTAATCTTGCGCCGCTGATGTGGTACACGTTGAACACTGATCTGCTGCTTAGCAAATTTCAGTCCATGAAAGCACTTGTCAATTCACAGAGCATAATACTCCCTCATATCCGACGGATTATCATAGCAACACCCCGACGAGTCGCGGGCGATTCGTTTGAAATGGTCCAAATCGAGCACAAATTACGTCTACTGTTAACGTCCCTTCCTCGCGACCGAATCACGCACTCCATGGCCAGCACGTTGAGACCGAGCCGTCATACTATCCACATGCTTCTCAAATCCCAGCGGAAGCTCGAAGAATTGAACTTCCGCATCAGGTCCGACGAGGCCTTCACGGGCAAGGGGCCACTTCCTCTCCACACAGGTGGTCCTTTGATGGAGCCTCCACTGAAAGACCTCACTGGACTAGCTGTATATGTTCATTGCCATCCGAAGATGGCGAAAAACTCTTTTGAGTACTACCGCAAACTTCTCAGATACGTTCCCAAGCTGCAGACCCTATCCATAGTGGGCACGCTCTTTGACAATCGTCCACTCGACCGGCTGGATATGCATCACATCCTACAGCATGACATAAAGCAGCCCATCCTAACAAGTCTCACCAACCTCCGTCTGAAGCTTATCGACTTTGGAATGAGTCACAAGGCGATTTTCAGTAACATCAACTTTGCGAACCTTCGCACGTTGTCACTAATTGGCTGCAATGACATGGCCACCTTCTTGGGCGGCCTCCTGGTACAACGCGCCAACAGTGACGGCAGTTATCTTTCCCATCTTTCCGACCTGGAGATCTTCTTGCCTTCTAATTCACCCCATCCCGACAACGACATTCAGGCTGTCCAACACTTCCTCGAGACTGGTCCGAAGCTTGAGAAACTCATCGTGGACGTATCGTGCCACGCCTTGATAAAGAACAACGCTATCATCGCCCGGTCTAATAAGCTGACTTCACTGCAACTGGGTACGGGTGAGAACAGAGTAGGGCGTTCATATGCAGTGAAAGACGTCAAAGCGATCTTAGATGCCTCCCCAAAGCTCGCAAATATCGCCATAAACCTCCCAGCAGTGAGCCTAGGATCCCTTATCGATCTAGCTCACGACTTCAAGTTGGGAAGACCACAAAACTGTCTCACATATATAGACACTGAGTTCGAAGCAATGCTCGTAAGTCCTAAAATCTACTTACTCCCCACGACTAGACCACCAGCTAACAACAACCCATCCAGATCGTACTCGCCCAACACGCCCCACTTCACACCCTCCGCATATTGAACCTTCCAACTTTCGGAGAGATCGAAATAACGCACAATCCCGACTGGCTCAACGCTACCGAACACCGATTAGCCCGCGTCTTGTACCAGAATTTCGCAATGGAGACAATGCGCTTCATGGCGAAATGCGGTACCGCCCCCATCTTTTTCGACACTCGGCCTAGTATTACGTACCAGATTTTCGATGAGTGTCTATGGCCTGCATATCTGTTTAATAAAGGGTATGTTTGTGATGCGAGAGGAAAGAGGGAGGTGATGGCGGTGCCCCTGGACAGATATCCGCAGGATGATAAAGAGTCACTCGTGATGCGTATGGCGGGGTCGAGTATCTGATGGATTAATATGGTGAACGGTGGATATTGGGGACGATGAACACGCGTTTAATATGGGAGCTGGGTATGTAGGTAGCTGAGGGTATTGCGGAAGGAGCGAGCAAACCTTTGGATGTTCAGCGACACCAAGTTGCCGCCGCTTCACGTAACAGCATTTGACGCACATATACGCATGATCCAACACAGCCATCCTGATTTCGCGATGCTACTCACATTAAACTCTATAAGTTGTGCATTCAATGATGTCGCTCTTGCCTTGCATCGTGCTAGAGCCTTGGCGCTTTGACCTCACTACCTAGGTACCTGGTCCACCCGACGACACGCTTTCGACCTCAATTCTACTTTGCTCTTCCATCTCATCATCTCGTAGTAATTGGTTGTCAATGTTTTCGCTTTCGTAAGTTCCGGGCATTGCCGCTCTGCAAGCCAGAAAGCGCTGACACATCTGCTAGATCCGGCAAAAGAATGATCAAGGCAATGTATGTCTCGTCAGCCGCTCATGGCGGGAGCTTATGGCCCCTATCTTGTGGGAAGAGCTTGAATTCAGCTTGGGTGATCACCAAGGCTCTTCCCCTGGCCGCTCTTTGACGACGCTACTGGCAGCAAACTCTGGGATCCTCCCACATGTACGGAATCTATGCTTTGCGGACTTTACGGATGAGGATTCGGATAACCGTCTCGAGTCGTTGATCTTGGCACTTCCACGCGATAAACTCCGCATTTTCCAGGCCTATGGCGACATGCAGCATGAGGTTTTCTTGCAATTGTGGCGATCGCAGACCAAGCTAGAGAGAATCTATGCAACGACTCCATTTACCTGCCTTGGCTCGACGAGTGATTATCATTATGCTTCCCGGGAATACCGCGCGTGGGTTGCATCGCTGACGCCTGAACTGAAGGAGATTAGTCTTCTTCTAGAGCGCGAAGAGGAACAGGAGGAAGAAGAGGTCGAGAACAACCACCGGAATCTGCAGAGCTTTATCGACCTCTACCCTAGTCTCGAAAGGCTGAACTTGTCAGCCGACTGTGAACCTCCGATCTCATTACAAGGACTGCTCTCGCTATCGCCGGAGAATCGCCTATTCTCCAATCTGACGTCTATCAAGATGGAAGAAATAGACTTGGTACCGTATGCTTCATCTCATTTCTCCCACACCTTCGACGTTGCAAGGTTAGAGAGGTTGGATCTTTTGCTCTGCAGCTCGATGTCGCCGTTTTTCGAGAGTCTCTCAAAATCGTACATTGAGACACCTGGTAATTTAAGGGAGTTGTGCATCCGCCTAGAAAACGGTGTTGAAGACGAAGTGCAGGTCGAGACCACAAAATCCAATGAAAACTTCCTCAAAGTCTGCTGCGCTAGACTTGAGAATCTCGAACTACAACTCTCCAACGGCAAACTTGTCGACAAAAGTTGTATCCTGCCTCACGCTGAGACGCTTCGTAACGTCGTCATCGGAAAACCTCGAAACAGTATCATGGATTCTCAGTCGCACTACTACTCGGGAGACGAATTAGGGATAATTTTGAGGGCGTGCACAAAGCTCAGAGGACTGGCCATCAATCTGCCACCTATCGATCTCGGATATATCACACAGCTCGGGGACGGATTACAATTCAACGCAAGTGAGCAGGATTGTGCTGCTTTCAAAGATATACTAGTAAGCAATGTCCTTTTTGTATTGGTATCTTTATTGATTGGCATCGTAGGCACAATGTGCCGCATATCCCAATCTTCATACCATAGAAATACTTAGCGAGCCTGATATCACATTTGATTATGATCTGGAAACATTTAAAGAGACACCTTTGATGGAGAATCGCAGCTTCGGTGCGTCGTGCGAGGCTGCCATGAAACACTTCGGCGATCAGATCTTCAGTCACATCTCGCAGTGTGGTACAGTCCCGAGACTCCTCCTAGTCAAATCCTTTGACACTCGGGATTTTGAAGAAGGTATGCCGATGGCAGATCGTTATTTCTGCCCTTGGTATATCCACACGCGCGAAAATGTTCGAGATAGTTCGGGCAGCAATCTAGTAGGTGCAGCGCGCGTTGAGATGGAGAAGATATCGAGGAACTACCCTAGCGACTTCATCCTCAGGCGCTTCTCTAGCTAATGTCTATCATGAGCTTATAAGCTGTATTGTATCTCGTAGTATGCAAATCAAGAGGGTAAAGTATGCTTCAGCGTGTAACACATCGGAGTAACAAAACCTAGTATGCGTTCTATTGTAGGCCTAGTAGAGGACCCTGTTCACGCCTACAAGTCTTGGCAGTATGCAAGAGCTGTGCGTTTTCCCCACTTTTCTCGCGACACACCTTTCTTACTTCTCATCGAGGCTGCTACTACCTCAACTGCTTCTGCATCTGCTCCCGACGAACTCCACGTCCAGCCATGACGCATAGAAACCTCTCTGATCTACCGCCCGAATTCGTTGCATTTCAAAAGGGATTCTGCATATCAGGAATGTGCTGGCAAGAACATGCAGGTGCGACAGAAGACCGATCAAGGCGTAGTGAGCTTCGTCAACCGTGCATGTCGCATCGCAAGGCAGATCTCGGAACCACACAAACACGTTCCAACGAGCTACACTCTTTCTTCTGATAAGCCGGAACGTTATCTACCATATGATGAGCCAGCTGTACAGCCGCAGTTGCGTCGCATCATGCAGGGGTTCCAGTCGTCTTTTTCGGCGAAAATGTTGAATGCCAAAGGCGAATCAGCGGTGGTGGCTCGTTCTGTAAGGTAATCGAAGACTTCGCGTTCGTTGGGGTCCGTCACAACTCCCGATGTCGCCCTGTGTTGTGTTGAGCACAGCTGGGTCTCCGGATGAAGTGTGTAGACAATCTTGGCTTGCACAGTCCTTCCACCCCTCCATTTCAACGCGAGATATCTAGTGAACGTGAGTATCGTCTAGCGCTTCTGTCGCCGCCTGTACGGCATCTTCGTCCTCTTCATCGCTATACACATTGAGCGCCGCTTGAAAAGCCTCTCGGTCCCAGTCCCGTCCTTGCCCGTCTCCCGGCCACCTGGCTCTTTTCATTTTGCGCACAAGCGACTTGAACTCGTCGTCCGCGTCATCAAGCTCCCAGTACATTGGTACCGCCTCAATAATATCCGTCTGGAGACCGATCCAGCGTAGCTCGCGGAATCGTTGTTTGCAGAGCGCAAAAAACTCGCGTGGGCGATAGACGTTAAAGCCATCCCGCCAACGCTCGGCTTCGTTTCCGGCGTAGCGTTCTTGTACCACGGCATTGAGCTCTGGCGCTGGCTCGTCGGGCAGGCCGCAAGGTTCTCCCCAGTAGACGTAGCCATCAGCCGTATTAATGACGAGATTGTAGCCATTACGCCCGTTGCTGTTACCGAAAGAGATGCATGATGGCGGCAAGGGATCGCCTATAGGTTCAACGTAGTATTCGAGATCGCCGTCGCGGATCCGTTTCTGCATCGCATCGCTGCGGTAATCCTGGATCCGTGTGTTCTTCATGATGACGTGCTTGCTGTAGGCTTTGTCTGTCTCGACAAAGTCTACAAAAGGCATGTGGCGAAGTAGGTCGATGACTGCATTAGTCTTGTTCAGGTTGGCCATGGTGGATTGTGTGATGGATGGCCAGCCATTCTTGGGAGCTTCGACTACGACGGAATTATCCCAAAAGACTCGACTGCAAAACTCGTAGTAGGCGGTCAAAAGAGTGATGAACTCGACTTGGTCGAAAGGCATGGTAGCACGTCAACCTTGGAACCTAAAAAAAACCGAACGCCCTGAAGCCTACGTTGATGCTATTTTGCGAGTTTTTAACTCGACTTAGTCTGCGAACTAATGGACTCTTTCTCTAGTATGAGGTGGTAGTAGAAAGCGGAAAAGAACACTAATTCAACATGGTGGGGCGTGGGCAGGGTGGATAATGTATGCTGACGGTTATATACGGCCTTCAAACGTCATCACGCGCCGACACCGACGCCGACGTATCCTGTTTCTAAGCAATCTTTCAGAAAACGATGCGTCGACGAACCTCCTTTCCCCCCAAAGCGCAATCTATATGTACGCATATCATTCATCAGCGGATACGACGAAGATAGTGCAAGTACATTTCCGAAACGGATACATCGAACACCTAGCGCTCTTGAACTTGACGCTCGCCCCGGCGACACCACAATGCAGCTCAGAGCGGAAGAAGCAATCTCTCCCTCTTTCGCTTTCTCGCCCTCTTTGCCCTCTTCGCTTTCGCCGACCTCGATGTTCTTGAAGGTCGAAACTTCATCGCCCTGTACAACTTCTGGTTCTGGCTTTTCGTAGAAGGTGATATTGTCTTCTGGTTCACAGCCGATAAGCAGAGTGTAGGCACTGCTGTCTTCGTGGTCGTCGTCGTATGGTGGGATTCCGAATCGCATACGCTCGATGAACTCCCGGACAGGTAGCCGTGTCGCCTATTGTCGTTTCAGCGCCATGTGAGCAGGAGCGGATATGGTAAAGTAGAGAGTGAAGCTTGAGAGAATGTTGAGGTTCCAGAAAAGGTGAGGTATGCGGTTGAAAGCGATGGGACCGCTGCTTGCAAAGAATGTCATCACAACATGTTAAGGAAAGCACGACCAGGCATGACAAGAAGCACTGTGCAAAAATCATTAGAAACCTAAAGATTACTCACACTCGGTGGATGACGACTTTGCTCATTCTGTATATGGCGCACAAAGGCACTGCGCTGACGGTGCTTATGATTGATTCATGAGAGAGAGCGCACATTGTATACCTCCAGGCTGCAGCATACAATCGGACCAGAATATTACTGAGTAGAACTGCGCTCTTGGCCATCCTTAATTGCAGTGCTGGACCCTATCGCGTCCACAAGTCTTGGCGGTGCAGGAGCAAACACCGCACGAGCCACCCGCTCTCACCTCGATTGCTCTTACTCCAGTTACCAGTCACCTACTTGTATTGATCATCACTGCCAAACCAATCGACTGAAGCTCGCGGCCTCCCGAACGCAACATGGCGTATGCGACATTCGCCGACTTGCCGGCCGAAATGGTCGGCAATGTGCTTGCGTTTGTGAGTAATAGCAAATTTTACATCTATGAAAAGCTCTAACAGCCCAAAAAGATTCGATCAAAGCCTGACCAGAGTAGCGTCTGTCTTGTCAGCCGCGCATGCAGAGACCTTATGGCACCCATGATGTGGGAACGATTCGAGGCGGACTTCCGCGATGCCTCAGTCCAGTCTCTAGCAACTCTCCTGCATCCGCAGTCTGGAATCACGAGCCGTGTCCGAGAGTTGGACATCCTCGAATCTACGCTTTCAGTTGAGGGAGCGGATCGAGCCATGTTATTCATCGCAGCAATCCCACGAGATAGACTTCGTCGCTTCGAAAGCACTTGGAAGGTCTCAGCCCTCATATTCCAAGTACTTCTACAGTCTCAACGGAAGATCGAAGATATAGACGTGTGGACCCCGTTTACTTGTCCTGGCCAGTTAACTCTTGTCGAACTCGAGTCCGAAGAACATCACACATGGATGGGCCCGCTACTGCCTGAGGTCTCAAAAATTGTGTTGAGCATTAACCCACATGAAGCGCAAGAGGAGCGCATCTTCCACAGCTTAAAGTCCGTTTCTCAATGCTGTCCAAAGATAACGGACCTCGCGCTGAATAACGAATCGCTTGACAATCGTAACGACGTATCCTTATGCGCGATACTGTCTCATACCAAAGATCATCAGTTATTCCCGAACCTTGCAACCTTGCGACTTTACAATCTAAGGATGGCGACAACCGCAGATCAAGCGATTGACGGGAATCTACACCTATCCAATCTGAGAGCATTGCAGTTGGAAGCGTGCATCGACCAGATCTCGTTCCTGAAAGGTCTTTCATCCTTTTACACCAGTAATGTCGGCAAATTGGAAGATCTCATTGTCATTCTTCCCATGGAACTCACAGAGTCAGAGAATACTGTACAAGCCATAGAGTTGCTACTCAAAACCTGTCCGAAGCTCTCCGATCTCCAGCTAGACTTGTCTGCACACAGGTTGGTTGCCAAACATAGTGTTATGGCCCACCATAAAACACTCGAGTCGCTCATGCTGGGAACTGCAGATTCTGGAAGTGGCAGGTATTACTCTGCCGCAGACCTGAACTCTATACTGAATGGTTGCACCAAACTAGAAGCATTGGCAATAGACATGCCACCACTAGATTTGGGTCCTATCTCGAAGCCTGTAACTGATTTCAGTTCTAATGAAGAATATGGGCATGTGCTGGTAAGATCCAGTCTGTATCATATACCTCATAGTCTCTAACAAACCCTCAGGCCGCAGTCTCTGCACCACCGGCATTACGAGTCTTCCGGATCCTAAATCGCCCCGCTTTTGACATCGAGGAACCCTTGTCAGATGTGCCAGTCAATCAGGCCGCCGTCTTCTGTCAAGTCGCCATGCAAAACTTTGCCAACCACATTCTCCGCTTCGTGGTTGACAAAGGATCTAATCTACAGGTTCTTAGCATCAAGCCCAGTGAGGAGGCAGATCCAGCGGTATATGGCACAGTGGTGAAGGATTCGAATGGACATCGATGGCCTGAGTACAATTACATTCGGGGTCACACCACCGATGTCACAGGTACAACCACTGTGGTTGCGCATCCCTCGACGAACGTGGTATTGGATTTCCCTGATCTTGCAGAATTCATGCAATACATCTAAGAAGACCTATCCCGATGTGGGAACGGGAGTGAGAGAAGACGAGAATCCGAATATGGAATCGTCGTCCTTATAGAACGATGCAGACTTGAGTGAGCTCATAGTACTCTGACATGAGAAGTATCGTCGGTATAAAGAACTGAGTTTGCTCAATCGTGAGGCAATGTCCCTTTGACCATACTGCCCAAGTATTCCTGAGCTCAACCACGAGTTCTAGTCCCTCAATGTACACCTCTTACCCAAATCACCTCCACTTCTCACACCCCAAACCCATCAAGGGGCGACTCCGTACTCTCAATCACAGCCGGATACACAACACCCCCCTGCCTCCTAACCTGATCCATAACCCGCATAACCACCTCCGTCTCCTCCAACCCACAAATCTCGCTCTCCAGCTTCCCATCCCGGATGCACCTCGCACACTCATCCGCCTCCCAGAACATTCCATGTCCTCCCCCAGGAATTCCCTTGAACTTATCAACGACCTGATACTCAAAGTCCGCCAGTTTCCCTCGTTTCTCATTAGCAGCGGGCGTCAACGTATACGTCCTTGGTCTCGGCGCGTAGTCGACGGTCAAATCGCCCAAAGTACCTTGTATCCTCACCGCGTCACCCCCAGGATTTGGAAATTCCGCATTCGGCGTCGTAGCAACAATAATACTCGTACCCGCCACGCCCTGCGCCCCCGTCCCCGGAAAACACAACAGCACAGTCGTCGTCTCATCAACGCCCGTCTCATACTTACTCACTGCCGACGATACAACCGGTTCTTGGCGCTTGTCGGCTGGTTGACAGTGATACAACGCCATGAACAACCACGTTAGGCTGTAGATACCTAGATCGAGTAATGCGCCACCAGCGAGATCAGGATTCACCATCCTATGCTGCGTGCCAAATTCTTTCTCCACATCATTCCAGAAACTGAAGTCGGCGAAGACGCGTTTGATATCGCCCAACTTCCCTTCTTTAACAATGGAGCAGACTTCCCGTGACAAAGGGAAGAAACGCGTCCACACAGCTTCCATCATGAACCTCCCCTTTTCTCTCGCTAATTTCCTCAGTTCCTGGCATTGCGCCGCATTCACAGTAATAGGTTTCTCAACGAGCAAATGTTTTCCGGCGTTGAGACAGAGGCGGGCGTGGTGGTAGTGGTGGGAATGGGGTGTGGCGATGTAGATGATGTCGATGTCTGGGTCGGAGACGAGGTCGGTGTAGGAGCCGTAGGCGCGTGCTGTGGGGGGTGCGCCTACGGAGGTGAGGAACGAGGTGGCGCGGGATAAGGATGTGGAGGAGGCGGCTGCGGCGACGACGTGGCGGATGGAGGTTACGGAGCGGGTGTGAGGGGAGATGAGGAGGTCTTTTGTGAAGGCTGTGGGGCGTTAGGATGGGCGGGTTGCTGGAGATGGGAGGTCTTACTTGTTGCTATGCCTCCCGTCGCTAGAATCAATTAGCCTTCTCTCATCATGCGTAAATCCGACTTGGTTGTGCATACCCAAGATACCCCACCTCAGCGTGAACGGCTCCGAGCTCATCTTGACGAGATTACGCTATGGCGATGGCGAGACGAAAGAGGAAGACAGAGATGAAATGGTGAAATGGTGAATACTTCCTTTGTACCTCCATCGCTATAGACACAGCCCGATCCTACATGTCTTATGCGCCCTAGGGCACATTCATGCTGCAGGTACATATGTAAGATGCAATAGTAGGGCGTTGACAACCTCTCGATTAGAGTACCCCGCAGCGGGCGGTTGCATGCCAGAGGGCCTGATGACGCGAAAAGCGGAGAGACGGGATGCTATCCGCCTTGTCCTTCCATATCATCGCTCATCAAACTGTTGATGTACGCATCCGTCTCAACTTGATAAAATGATGCGTGGTATTCCGGGTATATACATTTTGAAGCCTCGTGGTCCCTCCACGTACCGTGATGAATATACTCCAACAAGTGCTCATAGCCCAATATGACTCTCCATCGTCCTCCATAGTGTCGACTTCCTTTTACGGGTCGCGACTCGACCCGATACAAAGCTGCGACTGCGACCGCAACCAAATCCGAGATGTACCAGTTCGAGGTATGCCCTACACCTTGCGCATCGCAAGCTTCTTGCGTGCCTGGATCGTGTAGGCGTAGAGAGCGTCCTTGAAAGCGAAGAGGAAGGCGGCGGTGATGACACTCTGGGTGACCTTGGGTCCGATGCCTGTGACCGGTTAGCACATCTTCTCTCCTCCTTCGAATGCTTCTACACATACCTCCATACAGGCCAGTGTATCCCTCCTCCCTGATGATGCGCCTGAAGGTGGTCAACATGTCCTCCCTGGGTCCGTCCCTGCCCGCAACGTGCATCCTGCTCTTGACAGTAATGTACGGGTAGGTGATGCTGGTAGCCAACAGCTTGCCCAGCGCACCAAGGTAGAACGCATCCTTGGGCGTAACCCTCCTCCGCTTCTCCAGCATCTGCTTCAGCTGCTCGAAGACGGTGTATTGCAGAATGGGGTTGATGACCAAGACCAACGCCGGCATGACACCAGCGAACAGGCGCGCGGGGCCCTCATCGCGGACGAGGGCGAAGAGCGTGCCAAGCGTCGATGGCGCCTTCTGCGCGGGTGTAGGTGCGCCCGGGAGCGACTCGTCGGAGGCTTCGGATTTGCGCGTAGTCATGCGCGTGTTGACGACCCAGATGGGGTTGGTCATGAGGACGGTTGCGCTGCCGGCGAGGGCGCCTGCCATCATCGACTCGACCGTGGTGAGCTTTGAGGAGGCGCGACCGGCTTTGAGCGCAGCCTTCTCGAAGAAGGAGCGGGTCCATTCGTACCCTGATGCCGTCAGTACTTTGAAGTATCCTTTAGAAGTGTGTTGCCGTACAGTAATAGTAGACGAAGTTTGTGACGCTGATGCCGAAGAGGGCAGAGTCGAGACCGGCGTAGAGGCCGGCGACACCCTCGCGCTTGATGATGCGGCGCGCGGCATTGAGCGTCGACGACTGCGCGCGCTTCGACTCGACTTGCGCGCGGGTAGAGAGGGTGATGAGCGGGTAGCTGTGGGTTGTTAGCAGCCCGCATCACTTTGTCGCGATGGCGCATACGTCAGGGCCATGGACAGCAGTCCTCCACCAGCGCCAGCCAGCGCATGCGCAACATTGTCGCTCTGCTGAGCCGCCGTGCTCTGTGGCACCGAGGAAGTCGACTCGATGAGCTTCTCCTGCGCCTTTTCCTGTGTTTGAGACATGGTCGAGTGCAGAGTCTGGTCGCGCGGGAGTTGAAGGAGGGGAAGCGGGCGGTTGTCGCGACGGGAGGAAGGAGCAGCCGGTAAGCCGATGAGATTGGGAAGATTAGGATAAGCAGTGAAGGAAAGGGTATCAAAAGGGAAGCAGCTTCAAGTCTCGTCGGATGGTCTTCGTCTCCGCATTTGAGCTGCGGCTCCGGCTGGCTTGTGAACGTCACCAAGCATTTCCGGGGTAAGACGTACAACCGAGGCAACAACTTCCCCCGATCTAGTCGCATGCGGTAATCCTCTCCAAACTACCAACATGTGCAATCTCCTCGCCTCATGCACTGCACAATCAAAATGTAATCATCACTCTTGATTGGTCGTTGCTACTGGATTATTCTGCAACTACCTCTTGTATATACTCCTCTCTGCTACCCGAAACGGTACGTAGAGCACCGCTGCCAGCACAACTGCTACCTCCAACCCGATGTCGCCCGTAGTCTCCGCGATGGGTCCTGTCCACCAAATTTGTCCCATACATGGGATGATGAGGCCAAAGGAGAGCAGGAACGCGCCAATTGCCGCGAAACCGGGTGGCAGCTTGCTCGGCTCGTCCCACGCCTCTTCATCCTCGGTATAAGCCATGAAGCTGCTGCGTCGGAACAGCACGTGTTCGGTGATGGCGATGCCAATGAAGGCCGCACTCCAGTACCCGATGACGCCGATGAAGTTTTCGAGGTTGAGGAAGAAGCTTGAGGAAGCCTCGACAGCAACGCCAATTACGATGCCAGTAATGACGATGCTGAAGAAGATGCGCGGGATGCGGAAGAGCCAGGGAAGGAGCATCTGCAGGTTTAGTGTTACGCTGTACATCGTTGCCGACAGGTTACCCAACATGCTAAAGGCAAGCACGACTGTGACGAAGCGACCAAACCCGCCAGCTGGTTGAAGCATGGCCGCAAGGACACCACTCGCTGCGTTGACGTCGTACCCAGCCTGCCATGAGGCAATGTTTGGCGTCGCACCTCCCATCGCTGCACCGAGGGTCATCAGCAGGATCGTAGGCAGCGCAAGGCCAGTGTAGGTGTAGAGCGCGATCCGGAAAGGAGGGGCCTTGGGATGCATATATGTCGAGAAGTCGCTCGCGAGTGCAGCCCATGGGAGCATGAAGCTCGCCACGAGACCGCCAAACGAGAGGACCTGTGATGCCGTGGCAGCTGGCGCTGCTACCTGCTGGCTGAGGCTGCTACCCCCGCATCCTGCTGCAATGATAAGTGCGGCCAATGCTGGGATCCATGCCCAGCGCTCATAGTGATGCAATACTCCGAAGCCGCAGAAGGAGATGACCAGCGACAATATGGCGATGATGACGATACCCACCGTGGCGTTGATGGTCGCTCCGTCCTGCACCGCCGACAGTGCCATACCACCAATGACGCTGTCGACAACGCAGAAGCCCGTCAGCGTTGCAAGGTTGAGCAATATCAACAGAGAAACAAAGTATTTCCCGAAGGAAAACCTCGCCTGGACCAGCTGTCGCATACCCGTCTTCGGCCCCCACGTACACATGTACGCCACCGGCACCGTCGACACGAGGGTAAAGAAAAGAATAACCAGCGCCGCGTCCCTCAGACTAAGAGCAAAAGACATTGTGCCCACCATGCCAAAGGTCACACTGCATACCCGTTAGCCATTATGCAAGGCCACCACTCTCCAATTGACCACTTACGGCAACGGATTACAACTCATGCAAAACCAAAGCGTGAAGATCTTTGAATACTGCGTCTCTGTCCTATCCTCATACGGCACAGGCGTACACCCTCTGAGCTCAACATCACCTTTCTTTTCCAGAAAACTCAGCACCCCTCTCCACCCTCCAACTCTTTCGTGCTTGCCCACCGTGACATCGCCATGTTGCTGCTCCACTCCCGCGACTTCCCCAACCGAGAGATTGGGCCGCTTGATGTCTTCCTGTTCCCGCGAAGGAGCACCACTCCCCACCCTGCTACTGCCTGGACCTCCATTCGGGGCGTCTGCCATCTCTTTTCCCGGACCCGTGGTCTCTTGGCTCGCAGCACCGTTTTCGCCGCTCCACCCCGAGATATTGCGCGTGTAAAGTTTGTCAGTCGTGCGTAAGGGACCCGAGATGATGGTACAGACGCCGTTGACGACCCACTCGCTATGTCCGTCTACGGCTTGCAATGCGAAGTAATAGTGTGAAACTGCTCAGTCGTGTGATGCGATAAGGCCCGGCGCGACTATATACTTGAATCATTTGCTCCACCCAGTACAACGTCGTTATGACTCTTTGCTTACCCCATAGTGGCGGGCTTGCGACTATCGCGAACAGAGATTTTTTGCAAACACGACATTTCTGGTTCGCGCATCCTGTGCCCGGCAAGGCTAGACGCGCACCCGTCGGCACCGAGCGCTGCAAAATCGTTTCAATGCACGAATGCACGCATCCCACAACAAAGGGTCCATGACGATCTGGCCCACCTCGCGCGCTGCTAAGCCGACAACCGCATGATAGCCGTCTAATAACCGCGCCTTGAGTGTCTGCAGCCGTAGCTTCAGGATGCTTCTCCGACCATGACGGAGGTGGATGTGCGATGCGTATGCCGTGGTGTGCATGAGGTCTTGTCGGCTGCATGCTTGCTCGCTGCGCAATGGCCTGATTATAGACGCGCTTGCCGACTTCTCCCCGGTCTGCCGGACCTTCCCCACGGTCTTGACCGAGATGGGCGACACTCGTCCAACCACACTGCGTGCGGTGCTTGATACTCCGACGAGGGCGTGTAGCGTCCTCGGGGAGAGTGATGTTAGTTATCATGGGCGTTGAGCGCTGCGGCGTCGCCTTGCATGAGGCTGTCCCTCTTCGCTCATCTCCTTCTGCTGCGCTCATATTTGGAATCTGGTTATGGCTGCCGACGAAGAGAACAAGCGTGAACCCATACCGGTCGACGAGGCTGCTGTTGCACCTGAGCTGCCGGTAGAAGGTGAAGTCGAAGTCCCATATAGCATATACACCAGCAAAGAGAAATGGCTCATCGTAGCCATGGTCGCGTTGGCGGGCTTCTATAGGTACACTCTTTCCTTTCATCTCATCTCAAGACATGTACAACAACAGTAGCTAACACCACCTCAGCCCCCTCCCCGCAAACATCTACTTCCCAGCCATCCCAACCCTCGCGCGCGCCTTCAACCAAACATCCGAAGCCATCAACCAAACCGTCACCGTGTACCTAGTCTTCCAAGGAATCAGCCCTATGCTATGGGGCCCCATCAGTGACCGCTACGGCCGCCGCCTCGTCTACCTGGTATGTCTGGGCATCCTCGTCGCCTCGTCCATCGGCCTAGCCCTCTGTCCAACCAGCCACTTCTGGCTGCTCCTCTTCCTGCGCTGCTTCCAGTCCGGAGGTAGCGCCAGCACCATCGCCCTTGGCGCAGGCGTCATAGGCGATATATCCACGAGCCGCGAAAGAGGCGGCTACTTTGGCATGTTCAACCTCGGTCCTATGCTCGCTCCGTGTATCGCACCTGCAATCGGAGGCGCACTTTCGCAGGGTCTAGGTTGGCGATCTATCTTCTGGTCCATCGTCATCATGGTGGCTGTTTGCCTGCTGTGCATCGCGCTTTTCCTCCCTGAGACCCTGAGGAGCATTGCGGGTAATGGCAGTATCCCTGTGCCCCGCCTTCAACGCGCTATCCTCCCTATCGTGGGCCAAAAAGCAACGAAAGAAGCTTTCGACCCGGATTCGCGCGCTAAGGCTAAGCACTCTGTTAATCCCTTTGTGCTCTTTACGTACCCTGATGTCATCGTCCTGTTGACTTTTACCGGGCTGGTCTACGCGGTCAATTACACAATCACCGCCACCATTTCTTCGGCTTTTGCAAAGATATACCCGGAGCTGTCGGAAACGGTGCTGGGGCTTTGTTACCTTCCCGTCGGCGCGGGCATGATCCTAGGTTCTACGATGACGGGAAAGATGTTGGATTGGGAGTACAGGCGCATCAAAGAGCGGTGTGGTGATAACTTCACCATCGAACACGCCCGGTTACGCATAATGCCCTTCTACCTCTCCCTCTTCATCGTCTGTGTCATCGCTTGGGGTTGGACGATACAGGCTAAAGCACATATCGCCGTGCCCCTCATTCTGGGCGTTATGCTGGGCTGGACGTCCATCGGTATCCTCAACACTACCATGACACTCAACATCGATATTCTCCAGTCACGCAGTTCAGGCGCGACGGCGTGTACGAATCTTGTGCGCTGCTCGCTGGCTGCTATCCTGGTGTCTATCATCGATCGCATGGCGAGTGCGTGGGGCGATGGCTGGACGTATACGTTTTGGGGCGGTATTTGTTGTTTGTTGATGCCGCTTATGTTGCTGGAGATCAAGATGGGGCCTGTGTGGCGGAGGAGGCGCGAAGCCAAGGAATTGGAGGATGAGAAGGCATGATCTGGTTGTTGGGGAGGAATTGAAAGAGATCGAGCAGCGGTTTTTGGTTGGAGAAAAGCATTATACCCTTTTGTTGAAAGTTAGCATAGCGTTGGATAGTATCGCTGAGAATTATATTTCTTTGCAGATTTATCACGTGTTTTCGTTGCCAGTGATCAGGGTGAGTCAAGTATCTTTTAATCCTGTGCTAGAGGTGAGTGGCTGGACTAGCAAAGGCCGCACTCCACCATGATCAAGCTCTCTCCTCATACCGCCACCTCGCCACTTTGAATCAACTCCTCAAGATTCTCATAACTCTCCCCTTCATGTCATCACCCCCTCACGTCCTCCGAGCAATGATACCACGACGCCACTCCTAACCCCCGCTCGTAGGCTCAGGTTCCTTCGAAGCCAACGGTTCCTTGGAAACACCAGAATTCACAGGCGCTTGGCGTGCGTTGTTGACATTGGGGTCGGTGACCGTGACGACGTAGACTGGGTCATTCGATTCAGCCTCTTGACTTGGATTGACAGCGTCAGAATTGGTGACTGTGACGACGTATACTGGGTCAGTTGGTTCAACCTCTTCACGAGCGGTGGTAGCAATAGTATCGGTGACTGTGACGACGTAGACGGGGTCAGTCGGCTCAGCCTCTTGACGTTCGTTGACAACGTGGGTTTCGGTGACCGTGACAACGTAGACTGGGTCAATTGGTCCAGCTTCTTTAGTGTTCGTGTTCGTCATGACCTCGACTAGATCAGTCGGTCCAGCTTCCTGACGGGCGGTGACACGCTTGACATGGGTGACGGTGACAACGTAAACTGGGTTCCCACTCGCTACAGCCTCTTGACGAGCGTAAATATCGTTGGTAGCCGTAACCGTCGGGGTACTTGGAACATGACTTGCGAAAGGGCAGTCAGGTCCGACCCAACCCGGAGGACAAGACTTCGTAGGCTTTGGCGGTGAGACGACAACGCTGCAGTCGCTTCCCACATGGCCCGGAGAACATGTCGATGTCGGCACCGCCTGCCTGGCAACAAGACGCTGAGACCGACCTCCGAGATCTTCAGACGCTGCTCTAGGCGCATGTGTAGCCTTCACTTGCCTCGCGACCCATCGCTGAGACCGCCCGCCGCCGTAGTCCGGGGGGAAGATAGTGCTAGTCGCCATGGGCCAGCAGAAATGTATATCAGGATTATCGTCCCGGGTAAAGGCAGAGGAATGACATCCACATTCGTACGAGGTAGAGCAAGTAGGCTTAGACTTATCCGGTCCGCATTGAATATGCGTAGAAATAGCAGTCGCATAGGTCTTGGAGTCCCACTCGGTGATCTCAGTGCAAGTCGCAGTAGTTGGCAGGGCCTGGCGCCGCTGAGCGGTGACAGAGACGCGGGTGGGGTGAACCGAGTCCGAGAAACCTTCAGAGGGCTTAGGGACTTCAGAGTCCCCGGAGGTCTTGGTCTTGGAGGGCTTGGGCGGCTTGTACGTCTTGATGGACTTGGAGGTGTGGACGCTGGCTCGGGTGTGGGACTCGACTACGGTGAGCTGGCGGCGGTGCGCGGTGATGGTGCGGGTGAGCTCAGTGGAGTCGGTGGTCTCCTTGGAAGTGTAGAGGTTGGAGCGGGCTGGTGGGGTGCGTACTGTAGTGCAGTACTTGGGGTTGTTGCATGGCCTCGTTGTTAGTGTTGTCTCGCTGCCTTGGCTCATGGCGAAGCCGATGAAGCCTAGGGCGGTGAGGCAGAGAGTGGTGAACTTCATTTTGGCTGTGTTAGGGTTAGTGTCGAGGTAGTGAGATGTGTAGGGACTTTGTGGGCTACCTGAAGTTGATGATGTTGGGGAAAGGGAAGAGAAGTGAGTAGAGAGTGGAGAGTAGAAGGAGGAGGAGCAGTAAAAGAGGTTTATATACACCTCTATTGTAATACAAACACGATGGTCCGATGAAGACACTACCCAATCGGTACTCACCTCCGTTTGTAGGGATCACTTTTGCGGTGATACTGCGGTAAGAGAAGAAACGTGAGTGGTCTACGCATATGCGATGGGGCGGGGACGTCGGAGTTCGGGGTGAACCGTTTGCTGAGGGATTAGTGTGTAATCGAGCATGAAACATCTGCGACCTAATAATAAGCCCAAGTCACCGTGAGCACACTCATCTCACCGCGTACGATGACAAGACAACGAGTATTGAATAGATCAAGGGCAGAGTAAATAAAATGGATAGTAGGAGAACATCCGACCGTGTTCGAGATAACAATAATGCAATACTACTCAGACTCCGAAGTGCGCAGCTCTACCTGTATAACCGTGTAATAAACATGTCCCCGTCTATATCAAAAGACCCTGTGTAAAGTTCTCCAGTGCAGCTCGATACTGCTGACTATACTCAATGATTATCTGCTGCTGGTACCAGCTATGTCGCGCATTGTGGTCAGCCACAAGATTATGCGCAAGCTCGTGACAGTACGTGCAGAACCAACTGTCCAGAGCTGTGAGCTTCCCTTCCTTAGTCTGGCATCCGTCGCTATGCAAGGCGATAAACCAAGCAAGGTTGAAGAACAGACTACCGTTCATGTTGAACGCCACCGTGTTAGACTTCTTGTCGAGGAAGATATTTACCGCCGCAGGGTTGACGCTGAAGATTGATGTGAGGCCAAAGATGAGCGGTAGGAATTTTTGGAGGTGAGATTGCAGGTCGGTGAGCGGTGCAGTCTCGTCGCGGCCATAGTAGATGTCGACGTGACGGCCAGAGAAAGGCACCGAAAACGCTTTGTGCAGGTTCTCCCATTGTTCGCCGGTACAGTAACCTCCACGGTCGAGTTCTGTCGGGTCCTGGTGATGTTTGGTGTTGATGTTCTCCATACCAGTGGGCCGACACTCCTTGATAGCATTCTGGATGTTCGATTTCGTGGCTTGGATGTCGCGACTGATCTGGGGGCCGTCTGTACCCTTGGAGGAGGAGGCAGGTGCGCTAGGCGCGTTCTTGAAACCGAGCTTCTTCGCCCAGTTGTTGATGAGACCCTGCTCCTCTGGTTGGCGGCCGTGATTGGCGATCTCCATGCCACCCTCTGGACTACCAAAGGCACCAGGCATATGCTTGCCTTTCTCGGGGGTCTCAGGTGGTGGAATGTTCTCTCTATCATCAGACTTGACATGACCCGACTTGGCCTGTTCGGCAACTCGCTGCTGTTCCTCTTCTTCGCGCTCTTGCTCGGCTTGCTTGGCGATACGCGCTTCATGCTCTTTTTTTCGTAGAATACGCTCGACATTGATACCCTTTTGCTGGAGTCGGCGTAGAGGCTCAGTCAAGATGCGCTCCAGCGCGATCGCGTCGTTGCGCTTCGGCCGCGATACGAGTAGCCTTACCAGTTCGCTTGACACCTCGTACAGATCGTATTTCGGCGTGATGCTGAGCACGTACCCCGTACCACGCACCTTGATGATAACAGCCGATTTACGTGAAGATGTTGCGACATTTCGTTCCGCTAGAGAATAACGGATGGAGATATCTGACACGCATTGCACCGTCAGATTAGAACCCAGCCACTTGGCGTCATGTCTGATAGCTTTTGAAGAAGCATCGCGTTCATACTCGTGAAGGAAGAGACGTACACGCTCCAGGATGTCTCGTCGAAGATCTTGAGCAGGTGTCTGGTCGCGCGCTACTGTGCCGATGCGTTGGTCAGTCTTGACCAGCTCCGAGACTTTCTGGACACCGAATCGAGCGTAGAACTCTTCGAGAAGCTCTTCCTGTGGAGCTGCGATGATGAAGTCGCGGAACCGGGTCATATAGTTAACGTTATCGATAATCACGATCTCGCCAGCTTTGTTGAGCGACCACTCGCGGTGGACGTTGTCCTCATCAAGATCATCAATGTCGTCTTCGCCTGCATCGGCGACGTTCTTACTATCCTCTTTGATATCGCGGTAGCCAAGAAGCAACCTCGATGCTATAAGTGATTTGACCAAATCCTTATCCTTCCACAGATTCGGAGCATGTTCGGCCAGCTTTCTCAGCAAATCGAGATATTTCTCTTGCCCAATGGTGTTGAGGAACCGAGCAGGATTCTTTGCGAGGAGGTACGCTAGATCATGAGTAGTCGGCTCGTGCTTTGCGCCAACCTTGAGAAGGAAGACTGTAGCTTCCGCGCCATAGTGAACGTAATCGAGGATGCCACGGTACTCTTGATCACGACCCACGAAAACATGCTCGGGTGGATCGTAGTGATGGATGCGCATCTCGGTCTTGCCAGTTTGGTTCTTGGATCTGTCTTCAAATCCGCTGCAAGCGGGGTCAAGGTAATACTTCCGAAAGATTGGTACGATGTTGGAAGTCGCGAGATTCTGTATGAGCCCTTTGTATTGATCCAACTCGGATCCGCGCGAGGCAAGATAGGCAAACTGCATTTCTGCATCAAGCTTAGTCTTGGGAGGTGTCTTCATGAGGTATTGAACACATGGGCCTATGCTTGGATCGCGCTGAACCCCTAGCTTCTCGGCATGACTCCGAAGATCGCTTCTTAAAATGGGAAATCCTAGGCATGCTGCGTGCTCATTGGTGTAGCACTGGAACGGACCAACCAACGCCGGGAAGGGAGCCTGTTCTGTCGGCAAAATCGGAAGGGTGAGGGCAGCGAACTTCTGATGCTCTACAGCGTAGTTATTCTTGTAGTAGTTCGTTAACAGGTAATCCATCGCACGCATGTACAGCTGGAGATCCTTGGCTTGACCGGCGCGATGGAGTATGTTTGCGACGGTGATGGAATCTGGGCACTGTCGTAGTCCAAGACGCAGCAGCAATACACCCTCACGTGTAGTGGGCTTGAATTCGAAAGGCAGCTTGATCTGAGTCAGGCCTAGAGCTACAATAGCCGGGTCGGGGGCATAAAGGTCTGAAGCTTTGAACTGCTCGCCAGGTTTTACTAGAGTACCTTCTCCAGGCAAGAACGCTGTCTGCTGTAGACGACTAAGATCCTTCGCAGGTATTTCGTTTATGACCGACGCGAAGTAGCGGATAAGGTCAACGTGATTCCAAGTCGGCTTCTCGGATTTCTCGGACTGTTGCGCGTCGCGACTGCGCATTCGATCAAACACCATAGGAAGATCGATGGTCTTCCGAACACCGAGCGCCAATAGGAACTTCTCCTTTGAGCCTGCAAACGGTGTCACGGTTGGCAGATCGTCAAAGAGCTTAACAGTGGGAAAGTACGACTCCGCCGGGCGTCGCATGCCCATCTTCGTCGGCAGGATTGTGTGTGGGGTCAAAATCTTGACAACCGTCTCCTTGGAATTTCCATCGAGCTGTTCCCAGCACTTGGATGTCAGTGTTAGCACAGAGAGAGCAAGGTTTTCGTCCTTGGTAAATTCGTCTAGCTGCGGACGTGTTGTCATGTGTCGAAGCCAGCGAACCATTGACAATTCCACCCAGCCGAAGAGTTGCAGTTGTTTGATCGACATGCCTCTGGTGAAGGTGAAAGGAATAGTGTCTGGCGGAAGAGGTAGATGTGCACCAATACGCGCTGGGTTAACGAACGTGCTGATATCGCCCAAAGCCAGTATCCTGCCAGAGTTCTTTTCTGGCTCAATGTCGATATTAGCGACTGTATTTTCAAACAAGCTACGAGAGCCGGGCACATCGATTTCGCCGCTTTCCAGCTTAGATCCACACCACTTTAGGAACTCGGAGAGTTCATCCTCGCTGAGTGCTCGTGATTCTAATCCTTGACGAATATCCTGCATTGTAAGCTCTGTGATGAAACCGCGATTGTGTAAATTGAGCATGAAGTCGACTGCTGCATTCGCGAGTTCTTGTGGGACCATGGGTACTTCTCCCAGGAAACTTAGAGTTTCTGCAGGCATACGCACACGCTTACTGGACATGACGCCCTTGGTGGAAAGGATGTCGATGGATCGTTCTTTCGAACAATTCCAGAACGCCTCGTCGATCTTATCTCCAAGGGATGTAGAAGGGTGCGATGATTTGGCCGTGTATTGTTTGAACACGTAAGCAGTCTTCGTGATCAAAGTCTCTATGGGTTCCTTGCCGAATTGGGTCTGCAAAGCTGCCAATTCTGCTGCGTAGGTGATGCGACAGGCCAACCCTGCAACGCGCAGAAGCTCAATATTCCAGGTAGAAATGTAGCGAGCGTTCATGTCGACATTCTCGCGCTCAACCGTCGGGATAAGAGATGGCGCAGAGATGTGCGCGAGGTAGCCAGTCGTCTGGGCAGTCGGAAATCCGATAAAGATCCGTCCAGATTTTGTGGGAAGAACTTCTGCAAAGATCTTGTCGGCAAGCGCAGCTGAACTGCCAGAGCCCGTGGCCAGCGTGGCTGACGGATCTTGGTATGGACAAGTCAAAAGAGCGATTTTGGTCGTCTTCGGAGGTGACTTCTTGGTTGCGCGCTCAATCTCCGCAGCGAAATTTCGTGAGACTTTAGTGGCCGCCACCACAGTGCATACTTGCAAGAAGATGGTGCCAGTCGAATCGCCTGCTATCTCTTCAATAGTATTGGTCTTCTCGGCCGCGGGTTTGACGTTCTTCGTGGGCGGCGGAGGAGGCACCGATGCAAATTTCGAGAAGAAACTCCGTAATGAGGTACCTGCGTTGCGAACTTCTTGTTGTACGAGGTCGGCAGCTTTCTTTGGGGGTATCTGAGCAGTAGCAATGACGTTCATCCAGGCCGCATCAATTTGAGAGTGTTGTTGCGTGACATCAGTCACCCGCATCAAGCCGCCTTCGGTCTCAGTCTTCAGTCCGTTAGGCACACGGACCATTTCTGGAGGTGATATCTTCTTGGTGAACGACGCAACGACGTAGTCGTCCACGTGAAGCTCGATACTTTGCAGACCAACAAACGTGAGACTCGTGGCCAGAAACTGACACAACGTGGGCAGATTCGGAAGCTTTGATGGGTTGTAAGACGCAGATTCGACTTTTGCTTGCCGGTATTCCAGCATGAAAATGGTGTCTCTCGATTCATGTTCAGTCGGTACTGGGGCAGCTTTGGTTGAAAGCATATTACCCTTCCAGTAGAACGCCATAGTCCTGTCTCCTGAAACGACGAAGGGCTCATCGCAATCGGCAAACACGCTGTAGAATCCGACACCGAAAGCCCCAATCTTCGTTTCGTCCGGATTACCGTCCGCGATGCTTTTCAAACGACTCCAATCCGCGGGCGTGAATGGTTGACCATTGTTGCTAACAACGAGTCGCTTGAGGGTGTGATGTTGAATGATGTGCTTCAGTAGAATAGGGTCATCGGCGCCTTGAGGTGTAGGAACAGTAAGAGATGGGTCGGTCTCGAATTTGATGATGACTTGATCTGCTTTCGCATCTGCAGCATTCTGTATCAATTCTCGTAAGGTTGTGTGCTCGCTGGAGTAACGCGCTAGAACTTTGTCTATCAAAGCCCGGGTGTTGACCGTGACCTCGCTGTCGAAGCCATCGGCCATCGTTTGGTTGCGCAGCCGCGCAAAATCTATCGCTGCCATTTTGAAGGTGCCTTCCGCAGGTGTGCAGCACAATGTTTTTGGAGATTTGAAGCTACAGTGGCGATGTGTTTGCTAGGACCTCGGAGTTGATGGTATTAACAGCCCGGGGCTGTATCAAATAGGATTATGAGTCTTCCAAACGTAAAAAGGTCTTCTTAATCTACCCCGCTAACGGTGTCGAGTGAAATACGTCCGGAATGCGGATGTGCTTGTAATGAGAATGTGCTCGTGGACCAGGCGGCCTGTAAGAACCGTGGGCGGCGGTGGCGAAGACAGGAGGACCAGCCAGACGCAGAGAAACGTTACGCAACAAAAGACAAACTCCGGATATGCTCACGCTATGCAAGACGTAAGAAACATATCAAAGAGGACAGTGCAGCCTGGTGGGAGGCGAAGGGGTGTGGGTGAGATGTCGTGTTTCGTGTGGCACTTGTTGTTCCGGGCGCTGACGCAGGGGCCAACACCGAAAGCGGCTTAGTCCTCTTTGTTCGGGCCACCGCCACGAGGCCGAAGCTTTGAGGATCGCCAACCGTTTCACCGTCCGAACATTCGACGCATCATGCAAGCACCCGCCAGCACAGCGTCATCTTCTTGATCAAGCATATTGTTTTTGGCCACTAGGTCTTCAGCTTCCAGATGTTGCGATGGCAGTCGACCCTCTGTCCCCGATCGCGCCTGCGCGCATTAGGGCCTTGCTTCTCCCCGTGGGTCGCATCAAGCGTTCGCGCTTCATAGCCTTTGTCGACCTCTTGCAGCAAGAGTCGCTGGTTCGACTGGGCGATATCAGCCCTGATCCGAGACCTGACCGGAGTATGAGCCCTCATGTGCCAAATCAGCTCTGATGTTTGCTGATCTTGGCAACGATAGATATGTTCTCTCCTTTAGCATGGCCTGACGGAACTTTACTTTATGACTTATCGACTTCTATGCCATCAGCATCTCATCTATCACTGTCACCTTTCGAACAGTTCAGAGAGCCTCTACTGGTCATCGGAATCGGAGACGCGTCCGAATATGCCTGGCTGCAGCCATCACGTGGGACTGACGGAACCCCAAGCACGACATTTGAAGAACCCCCAGCCGGCGACGATGAAACCAATGCTATTCAATTCGGTATCGACGATCTCAGAGAACAGTTTCCTCGGGCATATCTCCACAGCATCATGCTGTTTGATTCAGCAACTCCATCACGACATCCGCGCCTACCACAAGAGACACTCTTGATCCCACCAAGATCACAGCTAAAGACCACGACGATGAAGACTTTCATGTGCGATCTGACTGCAACCTTGCTGGCGGAGATGACCACACTGGCAAAGTCCATACAGGCACTTCCTACTTTAGTTTCGCCCGCTTCTCAAAATGGCACAGCGGAGCTCACGCCAAGCTGGGCCGCATCTGACTCTACTTCGCAATTCTCGCGTCGCAACTCGCAAACACCAAGTGGGAGTAGACCGGAGTCACCCGTAGGAAATGCGTTGAAGGACGGTCACCGCGCGTCAATGCCTGTCTTGCCATCGAGTTCCGGAGGACCCCTGTCTACCGAAGACCCTAGGACCGCTTCATTGAGCGCACAAGGTACACGCACACCCCCGACAACCTTCGACGAAATTTCCGGTATCAATGCTGCCAATACGCTTCACCAAACAAACAGCAATCCCGCCAGGCCTAGCTCCGCAACCAAGAACGCAGCGGACCGCGTGTCGATTACGGGTTTTGGTTCCGGCGGGGTCGGTGAAAGAGCTCGAAACAAGGGACGCGGTCGTATTGGGATCGTGATCGGTACCTTGTACATGTGCGCAGGCCAGTGGGTCGAGGCTGTACGAGAGCTCACAGAAGCCGCGACAAGAGCACGTGCTCTAAGTGACCATCTGTGGCATGCTAAAGCTCTCGAACACATTATGGTCTGTATGCTTCTCTTTGCATGGTCAGGCATGGACTTCCAGGTTAGTCCAACTCTTACATGATGTTAGTCTCATCATCTTACTGACCATCAAGATACCCCCAATCTGCTATCCGACATCCGATAAGTCTGGAGGTAACAAGTCACCCACTCACACACCGTCAAGCAGTGTCTCGGACGTTTCGACTCCCGCCAAACCCCACAAACATGACAACGCACTGGACGCCCTGAACTCGCTGCTTCCAGACATGGTCAACATGATACTGAACCTCTATACCCGTGCGGCCAATTTCGCTGGCGAATCTTTGCCGCCTCTCGCGTTTTCAGAATGTGTAATACGCTTCTCTAAGTTGCTGGCCGCCATCAACTTATCCGGAGGCTTTCTAGATGATGATGCGTTGCGCCAGCTTGTGCAGAATACGCCATACAAGCAAAAGCCACGCCTTTCGGTACCGAGGCTTAGTGTACACCCTACGCGTAATGATATAGCGTCTATGCTATTTCGTGCATTACCTGGACCAGCGGAGAGCTCTGGCATGAACCCCACAGATCGCGTCGTAGTACTTGCTGGTGTCGCCTCGATCTTATCGTCCTTAGGGCTACAACGCAAGAAAGCCATCGTCATGAAGGAGTTTATCACATCTTTGGTTCCTGGTTTGATACAGGCCCGTAAGGTTGGTGCAGCAGAGATGGGAGTACATCCAGCTGCTGGCCTTGCGGCTCTCAACATCGCAAGCGGCGGTAGCTCCGGGAGTGGTGCTCTCAATCTAGGCGAAGGCGAAGTCGAAAATGGGATTGAGGAATTCCTAGGCTTGCTAGGCCGAATATACGGGATACCGAATTCGAAAGGAAACATGCCCAATATTGGGATGCCCAGTAAGAGAGATGAGAACGCGGAAAGTGCATCGGATAGTATTGCTAGTCAACGCGTCGTTGACACTATACTGGCAATATCGTCTTTGCGCTCTTTCGGAAGTTTGAGTCTCAAGCTAGAGATATTACGAACGTGCCTGAGTTTCTGCGAAGCATTACCAGACTTTAATGGCGTCCTCCATTTCACTGCTCTCTTGCTTCGGGTGGCGGGTCCCGGAACAGCACCGAGACCTAATAGCACCGACGTGTTCGTCTCTCTTCCCCGAGATGAGCAGATCCGACTCTACTCCAACATATCGAGAACCGTCACTGCCGCTAAGAAGCTTGGACTACAACATGTAGAAACAGAATACTGGGATGACTTCCTCGTGCGCGGGTTGTTCATTCTCGAGGAAATGGAACCTCTCCGCTTAACTCAAAGACAGGGGATCGAGTTGGAGTCGGACAGCCAAGGAAAAGACGGCCCTTTTCTTCACAATGCCTGGATGAAGAAGCCGCAAACGAATGCTGCAAATACAGTCCTGGTTGCGAATGAGCACTATCGCTTCGTCATAGCCATGCAGAATCCATATGAGTTTGAGCTTGGCGTAGAGTCGTTGAAGATAGCTGCTGAAGGTGTTGAGTTTGTCGCGCTGGAGGAACACTTCCTACTGGGCCCTTACAGGACTCAAAAGTTCCAGATCACAGGGACTGCGCGGACATCAGGGTCGTTGAAGATCATTGGATGCTACGTCAAACTTATCGGCTGCAGAGAGCGGCTATTCCCTATATTCCCAGAGCCATGGAAGCCGAAGAGAGAAGCTAAAATGAAGCGCATGGGCCTCAAGGCATGTTTAGGGGCACCAACATCCCGGCCCTCCTCGGCAATCGCACCATCCATCGACAGTAGAGCAACTTCTCAGCCAAAGCCAGAGTCTTTGACGTTTTCGGTAATCCCAGACCAGCCCGTCATTATAATTACCGATGTTTCGTTACCGCAGTCAGCCGTCATGGTGCTTGAAGGCGAAAGGAAACGATTTACTGTGACAGTGAAGAATACCTCGACTGAGACAACTGTCGACTTCGTCCACATCTCTTTCCAGGATACGGCGACCACTGCGATACAAGCAGCGACTTCAAACAAAGACTTGCCTGCAGCCGAATTGCATGAGTTGGAAGTCCAGCTCGCCCATCATCCGTCCTTGCGCTGGTGCAAGGACGAGGCCGAGGAATCACCGAGCATCAAGCCTGGCGCTGAAGCGCAGTTCACCATCGAGGTTATCGGTCGCACAAGACTGACGGATGCGACTATACAAATCGACTATGCCAACCTTGGAAAGCGAAGATCGGAAGTAGAGGAGCACTTCTTCACCCGTCAGGTCTCTGCGCCCATCTCTATCACTGTGAATGCAAGTGTGCAGCTTCAGCGGCCGGACATAGTACCCTTATCCGGAGATATTGCCTGGTCTAGCGATGCATCCTCAGGTTCGCGCACTCATTCAGATGACGAGGCCTTGCAATCACGGTCGTCTGGCAAAGCCGATGGTCATCTTCGGTCTTTCATCAGTCAAAGGCGGAGTGATGATAGCGACGAAGAGTACTGCATGCTTCTATTAGATCTTAGGAACTCCTGGCCAAACCCGCTCTCGATATTGCTTCAAGCCCGGAAGCCCGTGGCTGATGGCAATTACACCGACGACTCATGGGACGAAGCGCATAGTGTGAACGAAGTCATACAACCGGGGCATGTCAGCAGAGTCGTCATGATCCTCCCAAAGGTCTACTTGAAAGCCCCACATGCGGCTGTACCATCGCTCAATCCCGCCAACCAACGCCAGTTCGTCGTCAGCACGAGCAAAATCTCTCCCGAGACCGAGCGAGCGAGCCGAGAAGCTTTCTGGTACCGCGAAGAGCTACTCAAGATCGTGCGCGGAACGTGGACGGAAGACGGCAACGGACGTCATGGAGAGCTGGAATTGCGCAGCATCCGCTTCACGCCGCGCATGGTCGAGGCTATCAAGCTTGACGATCTCGCCATCAAAACGACCATCGCCTCCGACTACCCTGCAGCGGGTAACGAAGAAGTTGTGCGACAAGTCGGTCGCGCAAAGTTCGAGGTACCGATAGACGAGTTCCTCACTATGAAGACATTCGTCCGCAACCGAAGTCCACGTCCCATCTCACCGATACTCAGGCTACAGCCTCACGTCGCCGGTCTGCCTCATAACGTCGCCCTGGATCTAGACAAGCGCTTTTCGTGGACAGGTGTGCTGCAGCGCAAGTTGCCAGTCATACAGCCTGGAGAGACGGCAGAGTCTGAGCTTGGTATTGTTGCACTATGTGGTGGTACATACGAGGTTGGTGCAACGGTCGATGAAGCGGAGTTCATCAAGATGAGTGGTGGAGACGAGGACGATAAGAAGAACGACGATCAAATGCTGCTTCAGGGTGGCAATGTCCTGGGCGAGCCGAAGCTGCGAACTTGGCACATGACGGAGCCGTGTACTATCGTTGCTAAGAGATGAGGTGGGGACGAGTCTAGAATAGATGGATGAGATAGATCTTATGATGCTTGTTTCACGTCTCATTCTCCAATCAACGACAGTCCCGTGATCACATGATAACGAACAGCAAACTCTGAACAAAGTATATGGGTAACACTCCAAGCGCTTCTGACATGAGCCAAACCGCCTCAGTATGCCCAATCTACTAAGTCTACCCACCGAATTGATCACGCTCATCGGTTCGTTTCTCAAGGCAGGGGTCATAGGCCTTCTCCGCCTCGTCAACAAAGAGCTTCACACAAAGACATGGCGCAGCTTCTGTCTTCGTTTCAAAACCGTGAAGGTATCTTTAATTCGCATCAGCATACAAGTACTGAGTGATGCTGCGTTATCCCCCGACATCGCTAACGAGATCAAGCACATGATCATCGGCACCGAAACACTTGAACAATACGAACATGCACCGACGTCATATCCCCGTGCGCTGCGTGCTATGATAGCCACCGAGGGCAAGGCCGTCGACTTGCGCATTTGGCTGCAAAACCTCATCGTCCAAAAGCTACCTAACCTGCGTACAATCACATTAGAAGATCGTCCCGAAGATCCCGACAGCGAAGACTACCGTCCAAGTATGGGAAGTGTGGAACTCCTGCGAAGAGCTGGCGTCGATTTGAGTTTGAACGGCCCATACGGTCTATCTATCTGGGACAATCCCCGTCGAGGAGACGATCGATCTTTTCCCGTGGTATCGCGATTGTTGGTCTTTGCGACGATTTTCAGTATGCTGCGCTATCTCGACACACATGATATGATGATGGATTTTCGGATCGTTATAAGAGGTCATCGGATTCGGGGGCAGGAGGAAAGCGATATCAGAGAAGCTTTTGACATAACGGATAGGTGTACTAAAGAGGTACTTGACGCTCATCTTACGCAGATTACGGTGGGTGAGGATGGAAGTAGGTATCTTGTCACGGATCGATTTTTGGAGTTTGTACAAGGTCTTCGCGATTATGCGCTAGGTAAGGGCATTTTGTTGATTGAACGGTCGGCTGACGGGCAGTTTGCCTGAGCTCACAGGTGATGAAGGGCGTAGTTGTTATCTCAACGACCTGCGTTGTATGATTCTTCAGGGTGAAAGGATATTGCGCGAGCTACGGCTATTCGCAACAATCGGTTGTCTCAAGTTCCGAACCATCGGCGCCTATATGCCGCTCAACGTCCTCTTGATGACCAAGCGACACCTGCGTATGCGTCTCTGCTGGTTCACCACTGATATCATCGCTCGCGGGTCGCGCTGGTTCATGACACGCTGTGGTCACCAGCCTGGTGAGCTCTTCCAATTTGGTCTTGACTTCCACATGTTGCTGTTCGAGCCGTTCCAGTGCTTTCTTACTCCTTCTGGCTGAACTATCCATTGATTAATCAGGTTGCATAGAAGTGTAGTTCCATCAATACTTACGAATTCGCCATTGAAACCTGGTGAGATAGTATGCGTGATCGTAAGATCTCCCTCTCGCGCACCTTTTCTAAAACCTTTTCTCGAACTCGATACCACCGCATCAGAGTTGGTGTTGACCCCACTGTCAGTACGTAAAGCACCCAGGACATAGGGAGCTGGTCTGTGAGGGGCTCGGGGAGTAGATACATGAATTGCTTCAGGTGGTCTGACGAGTTTTGAGCCGCTTTTTGAGTCGCTTCTCGAGTCGCTTCTCGAGATTTCAAGACGAAATCTGTAAATGTTGTGGGGGTGATCCCAATATCTTGAAGAGATCGCGCGGATGACAATGCGGCTTCCACCATGCTCGTCTCTGCATTCATAGCGCGCAAACAGTAAGCGAGGATTAAAATCTCTGTCGCAAGCAACGAACTCCCAAGTCTCTTTAACCAGATAACATCGTCTTCGTCGTCTTGATTGACGATGAGGTGGGTATTGCCTTGCAGAACGGCTGAAGCTGAACTATTCATCTTCTCAAGATCGTTCAGAACGTCTACGACGGAGTCTTGAATCGATTGCATCTCGATGCGACCATTGCGCAAGGACACAAAGCGGACATAGATGGACGCCAAGATGGCCACGGCAAAGGTGAGAATGCCGGCGATGTTGGCGATGACAGACAGCGGGCTATCCTCCATGGGGAATGGCGCAACGACAAGCGTGCCGAATTCGGCGGTAGCTCGAAAGAGTGCGGGGCGTGAAAGTGTTTGTCAGACTCTCGACCTCGATATTGGAGCTGATGACACGATGAAGGGGATATACGAAGGGAGTAGGCGAATGGGGTAGACGACTAGGTTTTTGATCGTTAAGGCTGAAATTGCGCAACGAGAACCTTCCAGCTGACCCCTCCGCTGAAGTAAGCGGCAGCTGCATCGTGGCGTCCAACGAGGCTACCTTATCTCGCATGCATGCTTCAGCCTTGCAGCACATGCCTATCAACAAACACATCGCAAATTAACTGTCACCAGTATCAAGTTCTATGGCCTTCTAGTTCCCTGAACTGACTCCACTCTTTCCAGTACGTCAGTGAATCGCCAGCCACGCAAAAGCCGTCCGGCTACTCGATGGAACCCTCGCGGCAAGGTAGATTGTCTCTCGAACGTCCATCATTAAGACACCATTTTTGAACAATCATAACCTTGAAACTTCCATTACTCACAGCGCTCGTTTCTGTACTTCTGGCTCCATCAACGGGGAAAGCGTGAGCGATAGGCGCACATATGTCGATGCCCTGAAACTTTTGGAGAGATGTTCAACCGTCAACGAGTGCACGTATTAGGCTTTTTTGGAAACATCCGATCGCAGTGGATGATGACAAGAAACAAGAAACGGGCCAGCAGGCCTTTTATACATCCAGCAAGCGAACTCTGCCATATTCAAGCTCGCTGGTGCGTTTCGAAACGCCTGGCCGCAACATCGAAAGGAGTACATGGTGTTTTGGGGACATACAATGCCGATGCCACAGCTTTCGGCGTCCAGACTCATGATGCAATCATCGCACTCTTTGACGATATGAGAGCAGGAGAACCGCACATAAAATTCTGCAAATATTGTTTTAAGTTGCAGATGATACCACAGTCATGTCTTTGGTATTCTCTTTTTTGAGCGATCACATCTTTAATAGTGAAGTGTGTAGAGGAAGCAGACAACCATGGCGGTCATTTGTTGCAGTTTCTCGTTGATCGCCAGCAGCAAGACATCGATTCTTATTGTCGTAGTTTGAACATCTGTTCTTGATGTAATTTCTAGCAGAGGACAACATTCCTCGCTCATGAGAATGAAGCGGATAGTTTTAGAAGAAGAGAGAACGAGCAGCCAAAGCACTCATGGTAGTGAACCGATAAACTTTTGAGAAAGAGCCAGAGAGGCCATAACGGGACGGCGTGGCGATTTTGGAAAAGCCAACAAGAGCTTGGGATATAAAATGAAGAAAGCTACCAGCGAGAGGAAGCTTTTATGCACGCAGCGCTCGCGCTAGTCATAGCTACAGTTGCTGCACGATTCCAAAATCGCATCGGGAGACAACACGAGATCGAAACGCGCCGACCATAGCCGGCGTCCTGGCATAGTTTGTTGCACAAGACCAGAACTTGCCATGGCACGTGATAATCTGGAATTTTGAGATATGAGTAGGATGTAATTTTTAGAGTCAGACTGACAAGTAGAAAGAATATGTAAGTATCGACCGCAGACTAGCCAAGTCATGGCATGGACAACTGTGCGATTTTAGAGCGGAACGGGAGGTATATTGGTGTAGAGGATAAGAAGCAGAGGATGCGCAGAGGCTTTTATATGCGATTCACCGTGCTGCGAAACTCATGCTATAGGTAGCTTGGTGTTTTAGGGACACACTGCTCATATGACCAACGCGATGTCTTTTGAGTCGCATTCTCGCTCTTCATAGTGAATAGCTTGATGTGTTTGGCAGCAAAGCAGGAAGATAAACATGATTATGTAGGTTGGCACTTTGAGAAGCCGACAATGACCCATGCCCACTGGTCTTTTCTTTTTTGGTAAATAACACAACAAGTGGTGGATGAAGAAAGCCAGGAGGGAGAATGTTAGAAAGGCTTTTATACCCAGAACATCTTGTATGCGGGTCCAAGTTGCTGCCGAGAGGCCATCACCATGTTCTGTCTTTGTTCTAAGAGACATGCAAACTTCGCATACCTTGTGTTTGAGAATGTTTCGAGTATGATGTTGATGTAGCCGCCTGAGAAACTTTTGAAAAGAGTACTCGAGGAGAGAACCGAACAGACATTGGTCATGGCGAGAGCTTTTTTGGGAAGAAGAGCAGAGCACATTCCTCGTCTCTAGATGTTTTTAGTAAACCGCAGGAAGAGTGTGATATAGAAAGCCAGCCCCCAAACCAACGAGAGGAGACTTTATACCACTCTCCCCAGTCCCGACGACCGACACGGGTTGGCGACAACGGGTTTTGTCGACAGGCGCTTCTCATGAGCCTATTGAATGTTCTTTTTGGTTCTTCCCACAAACACTCCGACATGGGTATTCGCACATGTGGTTTTAGAAAGGCGGAAAGGAAGGACAGATCATAGAGTGAAGGCCGGTACTTTTTGGACAGGAGAAGAACCATAGGTTATGTCCTCGTCCTTTTGAATTAAAGCACCGGAAGTCAGGGAGTAGTGAAGAAGGCCAGAAATGCGGTATCGGGTATGTTTTATAGCTGGATTGGCGAAAACCCGCATCCTCTGCTCTCGATCATAGGATTTTGGCCTTGGAGATTTTTATAGAAACGGTACTTTCAGAATACTCCATGTATCAGCGCCAGATCCAATCTCCAGAGCATGTTGAGTATGTCAAGTCGTTTTGAATGCCAGAGTGGCAGCGACAGACCGCGAGCCGCAGACATTCTGTCTGGCCGTTGTCTTTTGGAGGAAGAAACTCAGAACAGCCATGGATTCGAAACAAACTCATTTTGGTAGATTTCCGGAAGGTGTGGTGTATAGGAAGCAAGAAGAAGAGAGGAAAAAAACGAGCTTTTATATCTCATCTCCATCTCGTCATCTCCCAGCCATATGCCCTATGTCGCGCTTTTTTTCAGAATTCTCAGCACTCAGCATAGCTCAGGCCACGACTGAAATCCTGCCCATTTTCGAGTCGCACAACACTCCTCCATTTAGGCGGCATTGCTTTGTTTTGTTGTAGAGAAAAGGTAGAAGTAGGACGAAGCCAGCACACTCAATCATCAAATTCTAACAACTCATTTTCGAGTAAAAGAAGAGGAAGAGCGAGAACGAACATAATAAAAAGCGGCTAGTCTTTTTGGTGTAATGCGAAGGGGTCGCGGAGAGGACGACATAAGATGGGAATCGAGGGAAGCATTTTTGAATGCGAAGCTTTCAGTCTTCCACTTTCATGTAATGCTGCCGAAAGGCTTTTGGTAGAAAGCACACAGGAAGTGTGGTGATAAAGAAGTGAAAGGAAGAAGCAGAGGGGAATTTTATATGCCACCGCCAGCATCTCCACTCTCCATGATTTGTTTTGTGAATATTTTGTATGCGCAGCGCAGAAAGCAGTGCTCTCCATGGCACCTTTTCCAGACCATTTGGATAAGGCTCACAGTCTCCATAGATGAGTTGCAGTCGTTTTTTAATTGTCGCTAATGGGGAAGAGAGCAGCACAAGCGCACATATCGATCTTCCAGTCGACTTTCGGAGAGGGAAGCAGAAGCCCACATGTATGTATACTGCATGCGTTTTGGTATAAGAAGGAGGAAGGTGGTAGTTGTAGAAGGCAAGAACCCAAGAGAGCGAGAGGAGGTATTTATGCATCTCTCGTGTCCGGTCCCGAGCATGAGGTCGCGCTTCAGAACGTTGAGTATCCAGCCAGCGGATCAAGTCTCTTGTCTCATGAGCTGAACGTGTCTGGATTTTGTTTTCCACAACACTCGACTTCCACATAAGTTCGAATTGCTGTAGTTTTGGAAGAAGTCGAGGCGGAGAGCGCAGATACATTGATTGTAACTTGCATTTTGAAGAAGACGAAGGCCGGTACACACATGTTAATGGTGACTCGATGTTTTGAAAGAAGAAAGGAGACTGGCGCACACATCCCTTTGATGGCACCTTGTTTTTGGAAAACATCATAGTATATGCGGAACATTTGGAAGAAACTTGGGAAACAGGAGAAGTGTTTTTATACATCTCCGACAGCCGGGCCAGAGGAACCATAGTCGGATTTAAGAATGGTTTTGGAAAAGCACAGTCGCCGGCGCCATGGGAGAGTTTGTTGGCCTTTTGTAAGGACACCCAGCGGAAAGACTGCTCATCAAAGAGCGGAAGAGGTATTTTGGAAAGGATGTTGGAAAGACAGGCGGACAGCACGCACATATCGTCCAGCTTGCTTGATTTTTGGAGAAGGCCGACAGGGCAAACATGCGATCCTGTA